ACATGCACATATGATAGCAGCACATCTTTCAAGTGTTTGGGATAACCTTTCGAGGATTGCTACTCCTTTATTCACTGTTACCTTTTTTTTGAATTTTAGTCCTCACACCTCTGTGCTCCTCCACGTGAGAAGCATTTCGCTTCGAGAACGCAATGACATGGAAAGGGGGAATTGCAAATGCTGGGCTCGGATGAGATCGCTGCGATCTGTTCTCCTGCTGTTCTGTGGAAATGATAATGACATTTTGGAACAGAATGCATGTGCCGAAATCCCCTGAAACAGTTCCAACGATTGCACGACGAAGGACAGAACAGAGCAAACCTGAAAACGTTTCCTGTGCAAAATTTCAACGACTTTTTCACGTGAGAGTCTGATCAGACACTGAAGCATATCACAAGTATATCACTCTCTTTCCCACACACTGCCCCCCTTCCCCAACCTCGCTCGACCCCCACCACCACCCCCCAAACTCACTTCACTCCGTTAATCAAATGGGGAGGGAGGAAATCATTTCCAGTACAGTTATTCCCAGATCAGTGTGAGAAAGTTAATGACTATCTGAAAAGTATTTGTTGACACAGCAGCTGGCTTATCACACTTTTTTTTCACATCTTTATGCCACAACATATGCCAGTCAGTCAGAGCATGTGAGAATACAACCATTGCTGATAATGCACCAGCAGATGGGCCGACGTATTGTTATTTGCACTCAAGCTTTGAACCCTTGAGGGATCACCCAATAAAAATCAAAGCATATGGACCATTACAGGCTCATTTATGTTTGCTGGAAGCACCACCAGCTACAGTTTTAATAAACTGCAACACCTTCGTATTGAATGACATGCATGGTAACGTGACCTCTCGTAGAGATGGGGGGGGAATCATCCCCAGTATCAAGAAATCTGGCAAATCACAAGTATTGCACTTGTGACACCCATTCCTTCTGGCTCTCGAAGTGATGCTGTTGGATTTTTTTTTAGCACATGCACAGCAAACAGAAGTTGTCTGGTTGTATGTCTTCCAAACATCGTCAGCTCTCTTTGGAGTTCACGTGGGCTTTTGTGTAAAAGTCTGCATGTAGGAGCTAAACCAAGCATTTAAAAATTAGCGTAAGACTTAAGGTTTTGTTACCAGTACAACTCATTAGCTGGAATTAGAATTGGCGAGTGCAGTGATGATTATCACATCACTTAACAACAACAACAAGATTCCATTTATAGAGCGCCTTTCACGTCGGGAGGATGTCCCAAGGCGCTGTGACACCCTTTTCCCCACATCCCATGTGTTACTCACTGTATGCTACACTTTTGATGGTCAAGCAGAAGCAATATGCATGGCCCTCTCCTATTGATAGCCAACCAATGGAGTAGTTTTGACATGCTACTCAATGCTGCACACAACCACCCTGCCAAAAGAAGCATTAAACTCCAACTGTGAAATCAAACGATTTGGGAGTATTTGTTTCTTTAACAAAAATACGGTTTAAGTGATGCCATATTAAATAATGTTATTTCACCATTGCCCACAACCCCCCCCCCCCCAGGCATTGGGAGTTTTCAGTGTATCACGTGCAGCACTTTGGAAACGTTCCTCCCAAGGTAAAAGGTGGTGGTACCAAGTGTAAGGCTTTTATTATTCACCTGCCTTGGATCAGATTTAATGACACATCTTCAAAGTGACTGCAGTATTACCAAACAGAATGCCCCATTAAAAAGTTCAGTTCCTCATGGTTTAAAGCATATTACAGTGCAAGAATGACTCTGCTTTGCTTCTGTCAGGTGAGAGAAGCACTCCAGGTGCAACAGTACACTGTGACAGCATGTGTTAATTATTCCATTTACCTCAACTTCAGCAGCTTTAATGATGCTTTTTGAAGCAATTTGTGTTCTTTTGAATCTTCACACCTCATTAGCTCCCTACCTCCATGTGTTTTTGATGCATTACCTATTGTGAGTTTCAGGTGAAATGGTAAACTCATTTAGTTTGCTAATAACTGCCTTCATCTCCTTCCTAAAGAAACATGAAATTGAAAGGTGCTGGTGATGTTCAGCTCACATCCTTTATATCTGATGTAAACTAGAAGTCTGGCTTCTTTCACTGCTGCTGAAGAATCACCCACTAGGCAAAAAAAAAAAATAACCCAAAACTCCCAAATTAACTTGCTTTTAATTTCAACCTTCACTTTTGGTGTAGACCTACATATTGTAAACTTATGAACAGAAGAATAAATACTGGTTGGATTTTCTAACCCATTCAACTCTGAAAGATACCAGCAGATGGCACAATAAGTAGATTCCACTCATACAGGCTTAACAAGGTTGCTGGTTTGTTTGCAGGCAAGTAATTGAAACAGTACAGAATGTCTTTACCAAAGTGGATTCAAAGTACACATCAGCCTTCATTAATGTCTTTTGAACTTTAGAACAGCCTTTATTGCAACTGTGATAAAGATGGAAGGAATCATTAATCTTGAATGTGCTCAGCTTTACAAATGTTCATTTTCTGTATTTGCAACATTGCAGGTGAGGTGACACTTGGAATATTGTGAGCACCTTCAAAAGTTTAAGAAGTTCACTGAAACATAGCAGAGCAGAGAGCACAGGAATTCATCTGAGATTGAAGGTTTGGAGAGTAGACTTGATTTCATTGAACAAACAATTGGGGAGAGGGTGCATCAGGATGCAGATTTTTAAGCTGTGAATGGCAAAGATAATGTCCATGTAAAGATAAGCCTAAGACTGTGCTTGCTTATTAGAGGATGCAGGTTTAAGCAAGATTCAAAATATAATCATTCCACTTTACAATGTTTAGTGAAGTGCTTTCAGACATCTTAATGATGTAAGATGCTATTATCAAATGCAAGGATTATTATTATTATTATTTAAGATTCTCTCCAGAATAGTAATGTGTAGAACAGACTCCCAGCTATAGCAATTGATGCAATGTCACTTAATTTGTTTAGGGGAAATCCTGCATAAGCGAGATTTAAAATGCTGACTCTGTTCATAGATTCATATGCGGTCTGCCTTTTTGTTAGAATATAATGGGGTTCAGAATGAATCTGCTTGCCTTACTCATAAAATATTAATTGTAGTAAAATGATTTGATCCCGGAGCAAATAATAGTTGTGGTATTTATTACAAGCACTGAATGTTCTCCATCTAGTTATAATGGCCAAAACTACAATTCTATTTCAATGTAAATCAGTCTTTTTAATTTTAAAATCTGAACATTTGACACAGATGAAAACAATTATACATGAGTTTGAAACAACCACATTCTGAAAAATTCTGCTAAATACTTTTGGTTTGTTTCGTGTAAGGCCTGACAACTTATTAATACACACTAGTTGAAACAAACAACACTCGAGGGGAAAAAAACTCTGTCAAGTCATTAGAATTTAGCACTCAAACAATATAACTGAGGTTCACGTCAGTCTTGAACAGCTGAAACATTAGCTGCTGCAAAATTTCTCTTGACCCAAACTATACTTATTAAAAAAAATTTTAATAAAGCTAGCTTCCCACCTAAAAAAAATGTTCTATTGGAACCTAAAGAGAATGGAGTTCTCAAAACAACTGGAACCCATTTAAAGTAAAACATAAAAATGCATTCAAAATTAAGTTTTCATTCGAATCAAGCCAATTCAGTTAACCATGCGGCAGCAAATCTAGTTTCTATGATTTGAGAATCAGAATTATTGTCACTAGCCCTGATTCATTGCTCACAAGCTTAGAAAGTATTGCAAGAATTATTGATCTTCACTAGAAATAGGCTTTGATTAAAAAAAGGCCAAGAGCCACAATGGGTGTACATCACTTGTAAACTTTAAAATCTAAATATGCTTTGATGTAGTTACACGGAAACAATATCAACAAAAATCGACTATTAAGTTAATAAATTGGCATGCTATACCTATACATTTACAAGCTTGTTACACACGCATGTTCACTATATTTTAAAACTGCACCAAACTCTTGGTTCAATTGGGGCTCAATACAAATACAATCATGAAATTGTTAAACACTGTTTAAAAAGAAATATGATTATACGTTTATCAATTAATCAAGAATGTTGCAGCATTGTGTATTGTCACTTTGAACCGTTTTATTTTTCAAAAAACACCAAAAGAATTTATCCGTTACCTATTTATATCTCACTGAAATGTTTCAAAACAAATTGTTTATCAAGGATTAAATGTTTTCAATATATGTATTTGGTAATTTTTGTACACGTTTATCAAAATGAGATGTCACTGATGTCAAAGCACTCCGAGATGCTACCCTGCATGAATCGTGCTATGTAAATGCAAGTTGTTCTTGTTGTTGTAGATACTTAAAAAGTTAAAGCTCGGATAATGCAAAGCTCCCTTTACTCTGTCCCTAATGCGGTAAGTATTTTGCTCTGTGAACTTCACTGAATAAATTAGTTAAGGTTAAAGTGCTATGCTGTATAGTTCAGTAAGTTAATCTTTCACTTTCCCCGTTGCTCTTCTGCAGGCTAAAAACCTCCTTCAAAATGGTCCAGACCAGATCAATCCAAGGACAATTCACAGTAAGGCCACCTCATTTGCATAACAGCACCTTTAAGAAACCACTAGATCAAAAAAAAAGTAATATTCAGGGATTGTCCCACTTTCCAACTCCATATTCTGGCATCTCTCTCTTGACTTTTCATTATTGGTGATCAAAAAATACTTTGGCTCCAGTTCATTTGACTGACATCTCACCTCCTTTCAAAGTCAGTTTGGATATAATAATAATCCTTGCATTCGATATAGCGCTTTTCACGTCTTCTCGACGTCTCAAAGCGCCTCACAGAATATGCTGTAAAGTGAATTGACTATATTTATGGGCAAAACGCAGCAGCCAATTGCGCACAGCGGTGTCCCACAAACAGTCGTGGATTGAAAATGACCAATTTTTTTTGTTTTTGTTTTTGGAGGGATTATTATTAGGCGTGTGGAATAAGGAAACTTGCTCAAGGTTTCGCCCTGCCAGGTGTCTCGCTTGCAAGGCGAGTGCTCTAACCACTGATCTACAGGATTCCACCATCTTACTGTATTGCTATGAAATGTATGGTATTGTCATTTTCCTACCCCTAAATATTGAAAATGAAAGGAAGAGCTACCAATGGTCTGAGATTTAAGTATCTCTTTGGACCGAACCTTGTCCTTTTTCCATTGTTGTTGTTAAATCCGCTGTTAAAATGTCAGGCAGGAGGGAATGTGCATCGTCCCCTGCCCAACAGTTCACTTGCTTTGATCGAGTCTGTTGTATTGAGACAGGAATTGGATTATAACTTTTCAGTTTGGATGATTACGCTCGACCTTTTAAGAGCAGAAAAGGACAGGAGCTATCTTTCTACTCCCCTGGAGTGAAATGCTTTAGCAATTATTGAAAAACTAATTATGGAGCTTGTGGGATATGTGGTTAAAAAGCCATTTCTGTAATCGCAAGAGTAATTCCCATTTTTCAAGTGCCATTCATAATGCCATACCTGAGTTTTTATCAAAGACAAATTAACATGCAAGCTCAAACTCAACAGGTTTTACAAAAATAATAACCTCATGCATTTCCTACTTCAGTTGTAGTCGCAATTCAAAATATAAATTAAAATCTAGTGCATCGCAACACAATTAATCCAGGCATATGTAGAGAGGAACAATCATTTTATCTTCTCCATTGTTATTTAGGTCCCCAACATGCCCCCATGACTTTCAAAGGCACAAAGGCAACCTGTTCAGACCTTTGCTAATGCTCTTGAACAAGCATTAGGTGCATAAAACTAGCACAGGTAGATAATCACACCCATATTTTTCTTCACCTTTGCCAGCTCGCTTCTATTCAGGTAGATTTCAATAATGAAGAAAGAATCTGCAAGCAATTTATAACAATATACTTGACTTCTACTCAGATAGCACAGTCCTTTAAATAAGTTGTTTTGATTTTAATGATATTAACCAATTTAAGGAACCCAAACACTTCAAGGATGCATTAAAGCTGAAAAGCAACATACTGCAAATTTGGACTTGAAGATATAAAAATATATAAACTCAGATCAAAAGTATGGTTTACTGATGTGAGCTGTGGTCTACAACATATTTGGTAAAACTTCTCATTCACAAGCCTCAAAAATGTTAAGCAGAAAATTAATTGAACCAAAATCACTAAGACTCTTGCAAAGCAGTACAAACACATGGAAAGTAGCAGTAACTAGCAAGTCATCAGATTTACTATACCCGTGATAATGAATGGAAGTTTGTCCAAGCAATATGTGCTAAATGGGCTACATGCAAATTAGTTTCTCTGCTTGACAGTTCAGCAATGTTCTGAGGATGGTTGATTTATATTTGTAATAGTAAACCAATCACATTATTCTAAAAAATATTATGATTTATCAACAGGTAAGAACATTTTCAAAGTTAAATCAAAGAAAATGCAGTATACATTTACAGGCTATTGTCGAAGCTTCATTTTAGAGGCAAAAACTTTTAAAAGGAGCCTTATAATCAACCACAGCAGTAGAGACTTCAGAAATATTAGACACATATAACACTGCAAATCATTTTGCTGCAACATTCCCATTTATTTTCTGCACCTAGGACATTCCTTCACATGTAATAATTTAAGTTGCTGCTTTGCTTATTTAAAAGTCCATAGTCTATTTGTACAAACTCATGGTGGGACTCTGGTACATGCACATATAAGCATCGCATAACAGTCTTCGAGCAAAGCCATGAATACTTTTTGGATCCAATTCATGTAGATCTTCTGGTGACATTTTTAAGTACTTTCCTATCTCTGGACACTGAGACACTTGGGGTATGTTGAAGCCATTCTGCCCACCTAAGAAACCAAATGGAAAACAATTAAAGAATGACTTTGCTATAATTCTTTTTATGTGAGCCTTATTATGCACATCAGACTATGCAAAATTGAATACTGTTTACATATTAAGACATTTGGAAAAGCAATCCTCTTTCATGAAGTTTATAGGTTGTAGAGCTAGGGTTGTGGTATAGCGAGTATATAAATAGTATCGCAAGTAAAGGCATAAAAGTGGTATATCATAAAACGTTACAGTACCATCTCGATCTGCCATGCTGTCAAAGAACAACCATGCTGAGTCATCTGGGCCATATTTGACAAAAGCAACATAATGACTCGTCTCTATACAGAGCACTGCAAACAGTTTCATCTTCTGTCTAGGTACACAACATTGTCTCCAGGCATAGTCAGCCATCTGTTCTGGGAGACACACTTTTCTTTGCTTATGTCCTTGTCTCTTATGGTGGAGATGTACCTGAAATAAAATAGATCATCAGCATATTTTGCAATGGGTAACAAACACTGTTGTAAATGCCGAAATTGGGCTGATGTCACAATTACTGCACATGTACTTATGAAACATCCAGAGAATATAGTTAAAGTATTGCCTAGTCTTTTTGCTTGTTTTTAGTGATTTCCTGTCCACACCCTCTGGAACTACATCCTGGAATCCCTCCACCTCACCCCCTCCCTTGCCTCCTTCAAGGTCTATCTCAAGACCTTCCTCTTTGACCGTGTCTTTGGACACCTCCCACTCCCTCGATTCCAACCCCCAGCTTGGGTGCAAACACTTAAAAGTCCTGTTTTTTTTAAAAAACACAGTATACCAATATTGTCAATTTCACGCGTCAGATCACAGACGTCATTTCCTGTTTTGCGCAAAGGCAAAACAGAAAGTGACACTTGTATAGATCTCAAGTCCCAGAAGTTGGCCATTTTAGCACAAAAACTATCTGATGTGTAGGAAGTGAGCTGTGCATGTGCAGTGAATTGTACATGGTTCACACTGCAGCCATGTTATATTTTGTTGCACTGAATTTGCATTATAAAGAAGCATAACAGGCCATAAAACACACGGCTGTGGTGTTCCATATGGTAAATTTCTAATCTTGGTTCAGGATTCAGCTGAGGTTAGAGATTTTCAAGATTATGCAGAGATTAAGAAGGAAGGAAGAGTTACAATTATATTTGAAACCATCATCTGGAGGAGCATTACATTGTTGGAAAAATCCTTTGGATGACTCATTTAAATTTAGGTCTTTACTGCCTGTTTAACTGAGCATTAAATACAGATCACACTATTTGGAATAATGCAATCTCAAATTTAGATTTTCAAAATTCAGTAGATACTTACTTGCGTATTACAAGCTTTGCAGAACTGTTTGATTTTTCCAGCAGTTATATCTGTGTCATCATAACATTCTCTGCATTCAACGAAAGCCAGACCTCCACAAATACGACATTCTCTGGGTGCTAAAATATAATAAAATATTAGCGATATACTTCTAAATACCTTAATATTTTGGTGTAAGATTTAGTCATAAAATATTTCCAATGTTAGTTTGAATAAATTCTAATTCTGTGTTTAAAGTGAGCAAAACAGTAATCTATATTCATTTTGGTAAGAAATAACGATTTGACAATCAATGACAAGTTATTCTAGTCACATGCTCGAGTGATTTACCAATTTAGTAAATAATAATCCAAGTCTAGAATTGGAATTTATTTGGTTATTGATGTATATACTATCCAACAACAATTCTGTGGAAAAAAAACTATATTATAAAAAGATCAGAGATAATTATATGGCACTGTCCCCACTCCTTCAGAATTGTAATTTACTGAAACATTTTTCAATGGCAAAAGTGTGATATTGTAATACAGCATTGGTTATTGAATTACAAAAAAACTTACACAAGTTTATAAACAAGCTGTCAGTTTGAATTTTTTAAAATAGTATTTCTGTTTAGTATATAGTACTATTGTTACAATAGTATTTCAATAGTATTATTGGTCATTTGAATTACAGTGATGAACTGGCATTAATTTAGGAAAATATCTTTCTGGATAATATTCTTACTAAATTTGTTATACTGAACACTACCAAAATGCTCTTTAGAAAACTGGTAGTACAATATGTGCAGAATAAAATTCAGAACACAATAATACTCAGTGAACCCCAAAAAAGTGTAAGTTTCATTTAAGTTTAAAAGGTGTACAATAGTGAATAATAGACAACATCCACATTACTGAGGGTACTTCATAGAGGTGTAAAATATCTTAAAGTAAGACTGAGAAAGTAAACCCAGAATAAACTTTCAGATGAACGAAGGCAGCAGGACAAGAGGGCACATTATGTGATAAATCACAAGGTTCAAGGTTGTGAAAGACAATTTCAGGTCAGACATCCATAAGTATTTCTTTACATAGAGGGAAATTAACATCTGGAATAGATTACCAGAAAGGGTGGTTCAGGCCAGGACACTAAATTCTTATAAGAAACAGCTTGTTGCTAAAGGGAAGACAGTAGGGTGGGTATTCTGAAATAATAATAATAATCCTTGCATTTGAGGATGAGATCAAATGGGCCAAATGGCCTTCTTCACCCATACCTCTCTTGTAATGTTATGTGGACGCTATTAAAATGAGGTGGGAAACATGGATCCAGATTTAAAGAGAGATGAAAAACGGTAAAAATCTATAAAACCTTGTTTATATTCATCAATAACAATTTTGAACTTTACCAACTTTCCTCTTCCAAATTAATGTTCTGTTTTACGGCTGTTTGATGGAACTGTAATTAACTCTTCAAAGTTTTACTCCCTCCAGTGGCAAACAGCTTTACTACAACTAAAGATTTGGAAGTGAAGCTGATAATTTTATGGTCTTTTTTGCAGACAGATTTGTACAATTATCCAAACTAAATCTCAGTCCATGTCCGTGGGTAAAAATTTTAACAATAAAAAGTCTGAAATCATGAAATATTATAAAATATTATAAAATCATAAAATATTATAAAATAGGTATATAAAATATTAAATATCAGATCCTCCATTGGTGGATCCAAGTGGAATCAACGACCAGTGTATAACACCTATATATAAAACGGACCTAGGACATTCTCGATTTCTTAACAAACGTGAATAAAAAGATACCACAAATAACAAATGCCTAGTATGTTTTGTGGAGGAATATTATTAAAGAGATAAGTGCTGCCTCTCAGATAAGGGATGAGGTAACACATATAGGTGAGGTGTAATCTCTACATCTCCATAATGTTGGATAGAAATTGCCAAAGCAAATAAGAGTTAGTTAGCCTAATTTTGGTCTGGATTTCATTTTTCACTTAACTTGTGCTCCAAATACAGTACCATAGGATAATCCTATTAGCTACCCAAGCAATATGTGCGTCAGACTGGCTCAGTTGGCAGCACTCTCGCAAGGTTATGGGTTCAGGGCGTTAAAATAGAAGGACTACAGTTATTTTAAAAATCACTGAGATTGTGACTTGAAACTGACTACTCAGAAATCACATGGAATAAAATAATTTTCCCAATTTCTTAAAGTGTAATATTGGTCGCACATTAACCTACCCTGAACATGAGGAATAAAGAGGTCAAGAGACATCAAAATTGAATAAGGTCAAGATCCTCAAGGCTTCAAAATGCATCAGCCATAGGGGAATAACTAGGTAGTATTTTACAAATCAAGAGTTTGCTGATGCAATTGTGAAAGCCGGTATTAATAACTTTTCTGAAGCAAAGGCCAAATCCAGGCTTGTACAGGTTGGTTCAGAACAGATACGTGGATGTGAAACCTTTCCATGATGAAGGATTTGATTGGGCGCCCTTTGCTATGCTTGTCCAAGAACTTCCCAGAGCTAATTCTAGCTCTGCGTGATCTGGACTTCAACCACTGCTTCAGCTGAGACACTGCCGAGAAACAAAGAGGATTGAATACAATAGTTTTTTTTAAAAAAGTTCTATTGACTCAACTGTTCCTTCATTTTGGCTAGGATTGACATTTTGGAATCTGAACTCCGAACATCTTGGCTATTCCAATATGTAGTTAGTACAGCATTTTTTGGTTTGTTTAATTAAAACAATCATAATATATTTACGCTCTTTTAAGGGTTCCAAACATATGGAATACAATGTCATCAATCATGGTGAATGCAGAAGCTGTAGATTCTTTTGTGAAATAGACAAGTTCCTGAAGGAAAAGTGAAAAGATAAGGAATGGCTGATAGGTTATGAGAGATAGTTGAGTTAGGTTAGTCTCTTTCAAAAACATGTCCATAAAAGGCTAAAGCATGGTAAGGTGAATGAACACAACGACACTATAATTAGTTTTTTTACATAGTATATTTATAAGAACATGAAACGTGCTGAGTCACTTACTGTCTTCTAATAAATCTGTAATATCCAATTCCAAAGATGGAAAGATTTTATCAAACATCTTGAATTCTTTTCCAAATCGAGGCATCTGAACTATCAGACATGAAGGGGCCTTAAAGAAATAATATATGTGAATCAATGCTCAGAAGTCTTTGTTGTTCATATCTGTATTCAATTCAAAATAAGCAGTAGAGAAGAAATTTACGAGCTCAAAAGAATTTGGAAAGCTTTATACAGGTCATAACCATTACCTTTGAAATTTAAAAAAAAAACTTATTCATGATAGTGTAATACAGGGTGGTCCAACCTTTTGGCTGCTGAGGGCCGGACGCCTGATTTGAGAAAGGTCCGCAGGCCACAAAAGCAACATTGCTAGATAGGCAACAATACCTTTTTAAAATACTCCTACTCTCTCCCAGTCACTCCAAATCGCCCACTGCCTCTCCTGAGGCTGATTGCGGCAGCACGGAGAATGACGGAAGAGGGCGCAGCTGGGAGATTAAACAATGAAGTTCGTGGGCTGGATGAAATGTGACCCGTGGGCCGCCAGTTAGACCACCATGATGTAATACGTATGGTTATTAATGATCATAAATACAGCACCAGTTTGGCCAATTTCTCCTAATAACACTCTCCAGCACTTGAACTCAGTTATCATTTGTTGAATCTAAATATATTATTTTAGATTTGGTTTGTGTCTCTAGATTATATTACTTTCAATTGAAAAGTAAATGGAATTTATGCTGCAAAACAGCAGAAACAATAAGTAGTCTGATTTTGCATTCCAAAAGCATGGGTAAATATCAGATTTGGAATTGTGTATGTCATAAATTTCCCTATATGAGAGAATCAATGGAAAGTTGCGCTAATTTTTGACCTTCTATTCAGCATTTTAATGAATACCAAATAACAAATTTAAGATTCTAGAGTTACAAATGTTTCATATTGTCATTTCCAATGATGCTTGGTTTCCTACCTCAGCAAATTTAAGGTCACTGCTAATAAAAGACCATTCAAGCAGTTGTTGCATCGTTGGCACCCCAACATTTTCATTTTTGTCCATGAATATCTGGTAAAAGTAACAGTCTTGTACTTTTTGACCCGCTGACCTGTTACAAAAAAAAGTAGTTTTACAAATATTACGGTGCATTACATCATCTCTTCTTACACAACTGTCCACCAAATATTAATACACTGGAGAACCATTACGCTGCGTGACTGCTTGTTTGTATTCACTAGGTTTATCGGCGGATTTGCATGTCACAGCTACATTAATAAACCATTAATGTGATGCACAAATAATAATAATCCTTGCATTTGATATAGTGCCTTATTTTGTCAAGATATCTCAAAATGCTTCACAGGATCTACTATAAATACTGTGGGTGAAAAGTGGCAACCAGCTTTGTACAAAGCAATATCCCTCAAACAGCCATGGAATGGGTGACCACTTTTATTTAGGGGAGTGCTAGTCAGAACATTGGGAGAAACTTCCTTCTCTTTTCAATAAGTGTTATGCAATCTTTAATGTCCACCTGAACAGACAGACAGGACCTCAGTTTAATGCCTCATCCAAAAGATGGCACCTCTGACAATGCAACACACCCCAGCGCTGCATTGAGTGTCAACTTAGACTATATGATTCCAAGTCCCGATGTGGTGCATAAACCCACAACCTTCTGACTTAAGAGGCAAAAATGCTACCACTGAGCCAGGCTGACCAATGCTACATTAGTGATTACATATTGGTAGCTTTATACTCAGACAAACAATTCTGCACTAGTGTTCACCAACACTTGAGCTAATTAAGGTAGATCAAATTCCAACTAAGATGGAACTTTTCTTTGATGTTTGCCCAGTAAGAACAAACTACTTAAGACAAAAAAACTGGTGAAACAGTACAGCATAGAGCAACACCCAAGGGAGTTGTTGGCTATCACAATTTCTATATCAAACAAAGTGAACAGTTAAAAAAACATTTGTATAAATACATTAAAACATTTCAATATTCAGTTTTTACCTGATTTTCAACAAAGGTTCAACTTTTAATATGTGATGAAACAATATGTTGAGAAATTCCTCAGGGTCTGTAAAAAGGAACAAATAATGTGAAACACTAGATGCATGAAATTGAAATGAGCTCTGTGCCAATCAAAAGAAGCAGTATATCTGAATACCATTTCAAATAGCAGTTGCTAAATTTGTCAAAAAGTTTCTAATTCTATTAAAATTATGAACTAGCAAAATCGTCTTCGTATTTTGTTTCATTTTTACAACTTATGCTAAAATCTCCAAGTAAATCCCTGCCCTCCTCAATTTTCCTTTTATGGTCCATTCTATAGGAAACGCTTAAGAGTAGCAAGATGCAGTCTACATTCATTGGTCACTTTGTTCAGTAAAGCCCAATTTATGATCGTTTACGTTGAATAATTACAGCAGTTTGCTTTTTGGGGTTCTCAATCTTTTTATTACACTTAGCAATTGAGCTATGGCAATTAACAAAACTGTCAGGCTGGCTCAGTTGTTAACGCTCTCAACTCAGGAGTTAGAGGGTTGCAGGGTTTGAGCACATAATCTAGGAGAACACTCCAATGTAATGATGAGGAACACTATTTATCAAGTCGCCTTTGTTAAGCCCAATGTTATGCCCCATTATAGTATTCAAAACATTTATTTTGTTACAAATCCAGACACACCTTTTTCTTCTGAAGTAAATCCTGAAGCGGCCTCAACTTTTTCAAGAATTCTCCGCAGTTTCATTATTTTAGTTGCACACACATATCCATGACTAGATGAAAAAATAGGAAATGATTTTAGTAAATATTCTTTCATTTCAAGTACTTGAGAATGCCATGATTAATGCAAATATTTTGTTCATTGAAGAGAAAAACACTGAATATTGACTTTTATACCAGGAAGGCAGCACTGCAATTCATTGACATATTACTGGTACACTCAATAAGTTATGAAATTATGCAAATTTTATTTTTACAAAGTCTACAAACATTTACCTTTAGATAATTCAACATTTGGATTTTCTTAAAAAGATATGTTTTAAAACCTCATAGTTTCTGAAGTATAAAATGATTATATTGCTTTAAGCATTGATATCATGAATTGACGTCATTATATAAAATTCACTATACTATTCACAGTACTGCTTACTTTCGAAGGGGATTGACTATTTCGGTCCTCAACAGATCTTGCGTATCTTTATAAAATTCAACATCATCCTTTTCTTTAGGTCTGAGCAACACTGTGTCCAACACAGAACTAAATGAAAACATACTGTAAAGAAAATATTAACAAATTAGCAACACACAATATTTAGCACTATTAGATAATAGAAACTGAAATTGACATTAGTTGCTTCAGCCAACCTTTGAATACTTACCAGAACAAAGTTGAGTCTAAATAACAGGAATTATAATGTCCTTGATACCCCTTTTCTTCCCGACCATTATAGCCAGTCCTTCTTTTTCCATTTTGGGAGGTGTGTTTTCTTTCACTGTTTCACTTAGATAACCTCCAAATGCTGGAAAAAAATAATTCTTCAATCAACTTCTAATAGATGAAATTTCTCCTCTTTTAAGAGATAACTTTGAATGAAACCATACTATATTAAATATTGGAAATGTATATATGTAAATGTTCAGATGAGTCTGAAAAAAACTGTTAATATTAAATCTGTCAGACATGTATAGTCGAATAATTCTCAATTTAAACTTAATTTATTAAGATTATGCAAGATATTATTAAAAGGGTTAGGCAATAGCTGCCTGGAGACACTTCCATAGAAACATGGGCGTGGATAAAGCCATTTTAAAACAATAAGTTACTTTTAATGAAACTTATTTCAAATCATTACTACACTGTGCAGTTTTAAAATTATTCAATGATTCCAGTCAGTACATTTGCCCAGAAGCTCCCATGCATAGATCAATTAACAGCTGGTTTGATCTGTTCATACAGCTGTTAATAGTTGACTTGATCTGGCCAATACATCTTAAACAGTTGACAGATCACATGGACTGAAAATGTGAACTGGTTTTATCACATACATATAATGCAAATGCTTTACACAATCTGTAGAAAAGATTGACAATGTTCATATGTCTATTACAGGTGCACTTATCAGAAATGCTGGACAAACATCAACTCAATGCATATTTGCATAAAAGTCACCATACAGACAAAAGCCAAGTGCTACCAGATGAGTGAATGTTCATTAGGTAACAGAATCATCAAACAAAATGCAACAAACAGTGCCTGGAAATGCATCCAATACAATACTGGTACAATGTTTATATTGCTTATATCAGGCAGCATTAAGCAGTAGCAATTTTGGATAAACATTAATTGTAATTTCCTTCCAATTTCCTCCCTTTCTCTCCTGAAGGAGAGAACAGCATTCCAAAAATACAAGCAGCCATTCAGTACTTTTTTCATCTGCTTGCCTAAGCAGTAAATATTACCATTGACTGTAAGTCTCTTTGAGACGTTTCGATATTACAAGTGCCATAGCAAATGCAAGTATTATTATTTGAGTACACAGGCATCGCAGACAATTTTTTTCTCTACCTGGAACAGATTATGCAGTGCAGAGAATATAGGCACAGGTTGGCAAAAGAAAACGCTTGAGGCTTCCTGAGTTTGTGTTGCAGTACTGCTGGAGTTTAACCAGCTAAAACTGCATAGTTGGTATTGAGACCACTGTCTGGCAAGCTTCCCAAGATTTTGGTCCATGTCTGCTCCATGTCTCCCGCCCGACCCACCATCGCTAGCCGGGCTTTCAGCCTCTCTGCCTCCACACTCTGGAACTCCATCCCACGGTCCACTCGCCTCGCTTCCTCCCTTGCCTCCTTCAAAGCCAGTCTCAAGACCCTTCTCTTCGACCGTGCCTTTGGTCTCCCTCCCACCTCTCTACCTTCCCTCACCCCTTCACCACCCCTCTCCCATGCTCAGGCCCCGACACCTGACTATACAGCGCTTTGGGACCTCCTCCCAACGTGAAAGGCGCCTATAAATGTAATTTTGTTGTTGTTGTTGTTTTCCGACCTAGTTCCACCCTACTTGTTAGGGCTTTGTCCTGCAGGCTTAACAGAAACAAAGCGGGAAGAAACCCTGCCCCTCCAGGTCCTTCCAACGAGCCAACCTGCAAAATCTGTCATCAGCATATAAACACCTACCATGGGGGGAGTCGCTAGTTAACGATCAGAGGAGAATACTGACTCATTCTACTGTGCCTCATTGTTGAGCCATCTTAGATATTAGCCAACTCAGGACAAACCAGAGATTCAACCATCTGATCTTCTACATTTGTACGGTTCAGAACTATAGCATGAAGGGATTTTAACCTCAAATTTGTTAACATATTTCCAATCAGTTGTCAAATATTCAGAGAATTTTCAACAGTAAACTGAGAAAAAAGCATTTATTTACAATATAAGCTTGGGTTACACAATGTGAATAACTACTGTATATTTTAAATTATTTTGTTATGAAGTGTCTTCAAATGCTTTACTTTTCTCCAGAAAACTGTCCAGTTTTTAAAAATATCTTAGGCAGGGGTTATATTTATATATATATATACAGATGTTACTAATTGGATAGCCCTCTGTCATTAATTAATTAACCTTATCATAAAATTCCAATCAATTTATAGGACACAATCTTCAAAAAATCTCAATTAATGACTATAAATAGTCATCATATGAAATGGTAAAGCACAGCATGCCTCTCTGTCCCTCCACAACCGTCCTGCCCGAGCACTACAATAGCTAGTCTACACAAATTATTTTCCATGCTCTACATGCCTGAATCTTAGGCTATATTTCCCAACACAAAGTGGTGTTCAATAAATGCAAATAGAATTGTGATGTCTGTGCAATTCTTGGTCTCACTGCTTTGTTGAATAGCAGAACTTTGTGAATTCATTACCCTGAAGTCTATTTATGGAGTTTCTAACTATCAATAAAAAATATTTTGTAAACATACTGTTTACTTTTAATCAAAATGCTAAGAAATGCAGCATATGAGGCAGATTTCATCAATTTCCTTTCATGCTACATGGGGAAAAGGCAATTTTTTTCTAGTAATAATTTAAAGGACACATCACATACTTGTGAAAGTTAAAACGAAGTTATCCAAAGCATACACTCTAGCTAGCAGAAGCAACCTAAAGCCAAGCAACTTAAATGACCGAGCAATATATCATTGCAACCAATTTTCTTAAATCCTATTTGGGAATGGCAAGCTATGAATCAACACACTAGCACAGTGAAAAGGCAGAATTATATGCAAATAATTACCAATAGAATTGCATCTTTCAATCTGATTTGGGTGATGAGGCAAAGATGTAAATCTCGAATCGGGCCGGCAGCTTTTAAGTTTTACAAACAAAGCCTTCTTTGATGCACATGTGAAGTAGCGCAATCCCTTGAAGGTACCATCTGTACAGCCTACACTTTCTTCTTCCTAAATGAAAAACAAAAATCTATAGCTTCTGTTTCAAAGCAAAAAAAACTCTACCTTCTGTCCACCATGAAGAGTCGTTTAACAATAGTTGAAAATGATCTCTCATTTACAACGGATTTCTTATTCATCTTATAAAAATATCAATAATCACTTCAATCTCAGCGACTACCAATTTCTCAGATAAATTTGAGTTTGGTAGTTTAAAATAAAAAGAGGGAAGATTACTCACCTGTGAGGGAGATACATTGTGGAAACCGGGAAAATTCAATGGATGCCTACCCTATGAAGAATGCTGTGGCATTAATCATATCAGCGTGCACCACAAATGATTGTCAAAGAGCCATCTTCACTTCTTAGGATTCCATCTAAATGTGAACATTGAGCTACATGCACAGGTTTGGAAAAATATCCTCAACCTAATCAACAAGCAAAAAACTGGAGAACAAGACAAGGATACTTAAGGCTTCTGTACCAGGTTTCATATCCCAACTTCACAAATTGTGTAAGCCAGTAAAGTCTTGGGTCCCAGTTGTTCTATACAATACATGAATTTGCTTCAGATATGACCATTGACCTAAATGCACAATCCATGTAAACATACTGTACACAGTTGAACATGATTACACGAAGCCTGTAGTTTACTTGAATTTTTTAAAAAAATATTTTCTGAAGTGAGATAACTTTTTGTTTTGTCTGGATTCTGTTCTACTTTTTTATATAAAAAAGGAAACGGTGGAAGAAACGTACCCAAAATTCAAGGATCAAAAAGCTAAGTGCACATAAGCTGTTGATGCACACTTCCATAACAGACAATGTGGATGAGAACATTTCAATCTTAAAAAGCAAAAACAACTCGTATTTATATAATGTCCTTCACACGGGGTACTGCCTCAGGGCATAAAACAATGGCATAGTTTGATGCCAAACCAAATAAGAAGCTACAAAAAAAATGAGGAACAACAGGAGTCACTGAAATTAAAAGATGACTGACTTACCAAAAATGGAATGATTAGATTGCATTCATTCAGAGCAGACACTTCAAACAACTATACCAGTGTATTGTCTCTTAAAGAAGTGGAAGAACTATTCTATGCACTTTGGGTTTGCTGATAGATTAAAGCATGGGTAGATTAAAGATTAAAGCCAATTACGGGGGCAAACGGAAGGAGATTAAGCTAAATAACAGCAACAATGCACAATGTTTGCTAACTCCATTGGCAAGGGTTAAGGCTAAAAGTAGTTTCAATTACTTCATTTTTAAATGTAGAGATATTGCCTCAGCATAGCAAGCACTAAATTAAGATCTCACAATGAAACCAATTAAAGTTCAGCGCTTGTTTTGACTAGCAGTTTTCATAGAAACCAGAAGCTGAAAAGTAGGATGTGATCACAACCCCTTTCAAAGGCAACTAAACAGCAAAATATATGTGCTCATACATCCCAATGAATCTGGGTTTGAGTCCTTTGATTATCAAATAGTGAATAACCTGGACCTCATTATGAGACTGAGGATCAAAAAAGCACAAAATCTCCACTTCACCTGTAGTATGCATATTAACAAAAATCTGAATCTAATTTCAGTCATTTGCCCCATTTTATAGCCAGGCATTCAACTTCGTTTAGTTCTGGAAACCAGCCCTAAGAATTGTATATGTGCCCGATTCATTTTGTCCAGTATCAAAGTATGAAAACAAGACATTCAAAGAACCTTACATTCTATGACTGGGTGTTGCAATACAGATACAACCTAACTTGATCTGTATTGCAACATCCACTCCGACTAAGAGTGGAAAACAGATGGATGAAAAATGTATGTTCCCCCATCAAGAAAGGGAGGTAAGTCTAGAATGAAGATGAAACTTCTTAACAAAGCAGTAATAATAGCTTTCTGGGCAGAAAGAGAACATGTCTACCTGCAAGGTCCCTATCAATATAAGAACATAAGAATTTTTTTTCGGCGAAAGAAGACCAAGGTCCATCTAGTTCGCTTTCCCCCATCCTGGCAGTCGCTTGGCACATCGTGTGTTAAGCATTAAGGACCTATAACATCCTAGATTGAAAACAATAGGGCTACTCTTTGCTTGGAAAGTATAATTGGGTTCAAAAGGCAACAAGATGAGTTGTGGAGGAATACGATTCAGGGATATGCTGAAATGGTAGATGGAATTGAGGGATATAAAGAGAATTGGACTTTCTGTGGTCCTGAAAGTGCTGTGTTGGCTTCCCCCACCAATACAGGTCTATTCCACAGCTAGAATCCTGACAACAGGGTTTTGAACTATGGTGTGTACTAAATCAATAGTTTACCCTTCCGAGTTGATGTAGAATCTCTTAAAAGGAATCTTTCCTCTGCTTTATTAAATAAAGAGACAGACAATCGAATATTTTTTTTCTAGTAAGATGAGCTACTTTCCCATAGCATAGAAAATAAACTGAGGAGGTATTTTTACATTCAGGTTTGCATCCATACTACTTACAAGTTCAAGTCCAGCTAGTTGTTCATTAACTCCCAGAGGATGGCCAATCCACCGAATTACTCCATAAAGAGGAGGATTTTCATTCACCTCAACCAATGATCCTACTTCCAAGCTATGCTGTTCCTTTGCTGGTGTTCCAGTCACTTCAATGTCCTGATTCTCACCGATATTCAAATCCATCATTGACTGCACGGACGAGGAAAGACCTTGGCCAATGCTTCCATCAGGGCCAAACTTTTTAGTAAGGCTGAAGGGCAACGAATGACATCTATTTTCATTTGAAAGGGAAGGTTGAAGTGATGATCTTGTGGGTGGTGACTGACTGAATTTGGAGTGTGTATCTGTGAGTGATTTTGCAGAGTCTTCACTTCCTGCAAATATGAAAAGTTTCATTTTGACAATATTAAAGGCAACTGTTTAAGTCACAGCATTCATGCTCATTTCTCTTTGAAGATTTTCTTTTAGTCTAAATTAGTACCCCACAGCATTACAAAATACAGCATTAGAATTATGAATCAGCTAAAAGCCAAGAATATGCAATAATTTTGTTTTAAGCCAGCTAACCATGCTTTGTTTCTCTATCTATCAGGAGAAATTTAGTGTTGTGCCAAAACAGCCATATATGTAACAATAAATTTCTCTGTAATCAACTGCAGATCAATGTAAAAACATAGTTCAAACTAAAAATTGCTACTAGCAAAAAATGACCAAATTCAGAAAAATCCCTCCAGTGTTGTTGTACATTAATTGACACACTGTTCTGACGAAGGTTCATGGACCCGAAATGTTGACTCACTTTCCTTTCTCCATAGATGCTGCCTGACCTGCTCAGTGTTGCCAGTAACTTCTGTTATTTGTGACACAAAGGGCTATCTGGCTTGTACATAAAAGGCTAATTTAAATAGTTAATCTTTATTGAGAGAATTTTAGGTTCAAAAAGTCTAGATGAGGTTTTAGTGATGTAGTATCTGAACCTTCTAAAATAAAAGTTCTTGGGATGCCGACTGAATCTATTTAAGAGCAATGGTATCTATAACCTAGGTTTTAAAATATTGCTGGAAAATGTATTACCAAGCAAAATTATGCAGTCTGGACATTAAGGAATTAAGATGCTATTTATTCAGTGGTTAATGAAATGTTCTGTAACTTCCGACCCCAAAAGTAATCATGTCACTGAATTTGGCTACAAATTGCAAAAGAATTTGATATTTTCCAGTGTGACTGAAATCATTATTAATTAAGTTAATTTCAAGTTTATACCTAGCCCTTAGTAGGTGGAATCACTACAATCACTAGGTTACAGAGCTGGTTCGATCAAAGATGTGGAATACAGTATCAATTTCAACTGATACAGAATCAAAACTCTTCAACATACTCAACAAGTTCAACAAGTTCGAGAAATAATATTCTGAATAATTGATCAACTGAGTGACAAATAATTCTTACACAAACTGACAAATGATATATAAATATATTTATAATTGCGTGACAAATAATTAAGTTAGGTCTTTAAAACATCTTAAAAGTAACAGCTGCAAACACCTTTACTCACCTGAACAACCTTTAATTTTACTAAATGTTAAAGTGAACCAAGAGTTGAAATCCAATCATGAAAATATCCCACTTACTAAACAATATAAGAATGACTCAATTGGATTTTAGTACCTCTATAGAACAGGATTTATAATATGATATTCAATCGATGTAAATGTCACAAAATCAAGATAGTTTTACAAATTCCACACAATGTTACACTGGAGGTCAAACTGACTAATTTCATCTTGGATCAAATAAACATTGATACCATCTCCATTGTGTAAGTGATATCGAACCATCTCTTGTAACAGGATTCCTTAAGATCTGTTCTTATTGAAATTTATAAGACAAGCTGAGCATTAATTTTGTAATAGCTGAGTAAAATAGTGTTCGGTAATGTGAGTAACCGCAGTGAATCATTCCAAATAATGAATACAAGTTTCCACTGCAATCAAATTAGTAAGCTTTGTTAAAACCATACCGTGACCTTCCAAAATTCAATCTGAAGATGTTCTTTTCTTAAATACTACTGTGCATCGTGTCTACTAAATATGTAAAAGTAAAAGCAATAAAATTAATTTATAGAGATGTTCACTAGTGTACTGAAGATGAATACGTGATCCAGCAGTAAAAGTTCATTTGATGGAAAGGGCGGTTTAAACAAAATTTCACCACTATTGAAATGTTTACTTTATATAACATTTACTGTTTTCCGTTCAATTGGTAATTGTCTGCAACAGAATTCTTTTACAAATATGCATTTATTTAATATATATATTATTTATATATATAAAAATATATTGTTCCCTCCACTCAGCTGGCTCTGGCCTGTTCCACATCCCCCGACCCACCTGCCCCACCATTGGTGGGAGAGCCTTCAGCCACTTGTCCCCAACCTCTGGAATTCCATCCCCCAGTCATTCCGCCTCGCCCCCTCCTTAGCCTCCTTCAAGTCCTGCCTCAAGACCCTCCTCTTCGACCATGCCATCGCCACCCCGCTTCCCTTCCCCTCCCTTCTCGCTCCCTGACCCCAGCTCGGGTCTGAAATGCTGTACTCTGTCCAGCGCCTTGGGACGTCCTCCCGAAAGTGCGCTATACAAATGTAATCTTATCGTTGGTTATTTACAAAATAGGGTTCATTAAAAGATACTTTGAGTATTCAAATTTCCTAGCAGGTTTACAAAATGGAATCCATTTGTTGTTTATTGAATTTCTGCAAGAGCAACTATGAATGCATTAGAATGCTTAACATTACACAAACAAATAAATAAAAGGGAAACTCTGTAGCTAGTGAAACTGCTTATATCTAAGTAAGGGATGTTGGGGCATGCAGGGTTTCAGTAGAACTTGCTTAAATCCAACTTATTTGAAAACGTTTCTAGAAAAATTCCATCATTAAAACTATTGAGAAACCAATTTTATTTTACTGCTCTATTTTGAGATCTTAAGGCTATGAAGCACTTGGTACTGAGACAAATAATACAAGAAATGTAATTAAGCACAAGTTGCTAGGAGAGAGCTTGAAATTTGTCATTACTTTATGTAATAATCCTATTACATCAAAAATCCATTGACTATAATCATGAATGCAATGCTCAGAAAAAGTTAATTTTATATTTTAAATTCATATTGTTGATATGAAGGAATTTGCAGTGGTAACAAAGTTAACCAATCTGCTGGTCAGCTAATCAGAACATTATATTTTACTTAACCATGCGTTAACATTTAATCCGTGTTTATCTTTGATGAAATTTGCTGATATGCACAATACACCATTTCCCTTTCAAAGCACAGTACTTGTTCCATCCAGTTATTCAAAATATTGTGATTTTCAAATGATGGTAACTTCATGACAAATCAGGCAAATGTAATGATTCAAAAATGCAATTGGCTAGGAGGTTGTCATTTAAATTATGCAATAAACTACAATAGCGCCAAAAAATTGTAGCTGTGTAGGAATCAGTTAGCAGCATGCTTTTTTACCGCAAAAGCTTGAAGAAAGATGTAAGCTCATAATTCAAAAGTCAGAAATAATGATTGTCAACGACACAGCTACTGCCATTTTGAATACAGAAACAATAATATGCACATGGGAAGCCTGCACCATTGGTACAGGTTGCAGTTTGAGTCACAAAATGTGACAGCTGCGATGCAATCAACTACATTTATTTCAGAAAGGATTTAGTTTAACAAGAAATCTAGCTGAATGACCAAGGGCTATTGTGCAGGACATCACTAAGATTGAAAAGAATGTTTTGGAGGCAAACGATGAGCGAAAGATGACCTGCCAGAAAACAGGTCCTTGTTTAGGCTTGTGTTAAAAGCTTCAGAAAAGCCTTCTCTAATGGAAGAAATTTTTGGTCTGACAGATTTGGGTTTCTCAAGTTTTTGCTACCAATAATTTTCTCCGCGTCTACTGAACTTCTGTTTTCTTTCCAATAGGACAGGTGCCAGCTGCCCTTATGATTCCTTAAATTCCTTACGATGATTATTGGCAGGCTATATAATAATAGAGTAATTGCAGAAAGCATTGTTCTGACTTTCACCTAACATAGATTACTATTATAATATGTATTCGCCAAACAGGTTTCTCCTCCCTAGCCCCAAGCCAATTATAGGATTCTTACTGAGATTAGCTATCTCTAACAAACTGTTGGATCAGAAGAGATTACGACCACGGATATCAATACACGATGACTAAGAATGGTAAACAGAGTATGGATATGTGAGGGAAATAAAGGTAAACTGTCTTTTATTGCCAAAGGCATGGAGTTGATCAAGGTTTGACAAAAATAGCAGGGACATAACTTAATGTCAGTCACGGTGGTAGAATGGAATAATTTGAGAAGATTCTTTACCTAGATCCTTAAAATTGGCATTAATGGAGAAAATTGAGCCAAAAATATCAGGTTTTTCTGGAACATTGGCAAAATAACTATGACAGGAGTGGCAGAAAGCGAAATTCACAGAAATTTCAAAAGACAGCTTTACGTATTTTGGATTGATTACCTTCATCAATGTACCATGTGCTTTTTGATTTTGTTTGCGGATCATTAGATGTGGTATGAAATGTGAAATGAAATTCAGATCTGCTCCTATTATGACCTGGCGATTTTCCAGACTGTGAAGCCAGTTCTGTAGATAACAAAGTGCAATTGTAATAAAGATAGTAGGAATGCTTTAAGGCAAATCCTATGTTAATACCAAACTCAACATTTATATTTAAGTAGAGATTTTGAAATAAGCCGATATTCAAGTTGCCCATCATCACATCTATAATTATATCATATGACGGTTTATACCTCCATCATTGTTTGAAAGAAGATCTCAGAGAGATTCTATAGTTTCTGCAAGGAACTGTGCTTATATTCAACTTGAATGCTATTCTACAATTTGATCACACTCTAGAAACATATATTCGATCCCAAGAATCTTTCATACATAGATTTCCATTCAATGGCATAAAATGTGAGGCCAAGAAAACAGTACCTTTGCTCTTTGATTTGTACAAATTTGATGCAATCCTTTCACCAATACCTCCTGATGATCCAATGCCTGGTTTCTGATGTTGTGCTTGTGTCCCTGGAGTCGTCTCTGAAATGTTTTCAGAAAATATTAATTAGCACAATACTACAGTAGGCTAAGGGGTAAAGAGAAAGGAAGGCTGTAGGACTGATATGTTATCCTTAATAAAATTAAACCAATCACACCACGTAGTGGAGGTCACTCTCACCCAAACCTCTCAGGAGACTCGGTACTGTGCACCATAATGCATGTATACCCTATTTTATCTCCTCTCCTGACCTATCCCAAATTACCCTTCTGATGTGGAGGAAATCATTACAGAAGAAATGTTCCTCCCATGCTCTAGAGGAAGGAGATTGAATGTTGTCCACTAAATTCTGATTCTCTCACAACCCCGAGGAATGAGACCACACAGTTTGTCCTGTTGCAAGGGTCCTCATTGCCTGACACTCACATCCCAATACTCAGTCAGCCATGCCCTGTGATCCCACAAACTAAGAACATAATACAGATCTGTAACAGATATGTTTCTCTAATTAATATTAAAGAAATATTCACTAACGCATGAAGATGAGCTCTGTGAACTAAGGCAGAATAAGTGAACATTATAGATTATTTTTCAAACATTCAATTCGAGACCTCAGCCAGCAGTCAGATAATGAGACGTTTTAATATATTTTCCTCTTCATAAACAATTCCTTCTCTGTGATTTCAGTTCAATTTGCGACATCCACTGGCATAATTGTTAAAGATTGTTCTGACTTATAACCAAGACTCTCTGACATCACAAAGCTGTGTAACTGATGCATAATTAAGTCTACGTTTACTGTTTACCAATTGTGACACACCAGAAAGTTTATCGATCAAATAATCTACATTTCATTGTTGAAAAGTAATGTCATATGCATTACAAGCAGCTTCACAGGTATACGTCAGGCTAATTATTTGTGATATCTTTGTGGTATTATTTTGATAATTCCGTCAATTTTGAACAATTTAGCCCATTACATTTATATTCACACTTATTATAAATTCTAACATATTTTAATGTCAGTGAACAAAAGATTTTCTGAATTTTTTCCAACTTCTAAATACTTTACATTGTACTATCAGGTACTGTTTTTTTTCCTTGGGGATGGTGGGCTCAGGAATCATTGGTTAATTCAAAGGATTTGCCTAGATTTTAAATAAAAAAGAGACAGTTTCAAGACACTTGTGACCCTTCCCAGTCAGTGACTTACTGCAGTAATCCAGCTGAACCCATCCTTAACAATCAAGGATATAATTTATAAAGGCATGAATTTTGAAAAGATCTAACTTTCTAATGTCCCTGTAGGCAATTTTATATCAAGGCAAAAAGAGCACATTTCAGAAAATATTCTAATGAAGCAAAAATACTTTTAATCTTCCAAAAAAAATGTGTGGAAAGTGTACCTAGCATTACATCCTTTATCTTCAAAAGGAGAATTCTTTCGTCTGGAGGAACGTTACACAATACCTTTCCATCGTATATACCATCCCAATCTCCAAGTTGATTATCCTGCAAGTGCAAGCAACAAATGCTTATTCCAACATTATAAATTAGTAATTGTTACTATTCTGGGGTCAAAGCAATGCTGTACTGGTACATTTTAAACATTTAAATTAAAAAACATAAGAAAGCATAAAACAAGAAAAAGTACTGTTGTATGGAAATATCATGACTTTAAACCCTTTAGTTGTGATCTATATTGTCTGATTATCTGAATAGCGAGTATGTGGGAAGTGGCTGGAAACTAACTGATTGTAATCTAGCCAGGAGCTGAAATGCAACACTTGATTCAACAATTTACTCAGGATTCTTCTGCAAACTCAGTTATAATTGTGTACGTTCATATAGTTTGTTGCACTGTTCAGTCTGCACCACTTGCAAGGTAATTAATTTCTTTTAGTGAATATATTTTCTCACCATATCAACACCAACAAAATAGCCATGGGTTTCCTTTCCAGGCAACAGACCACAGAATACAACCGTGCCAAACTCTATTTTGTTTCTGATGTACGTAGACACCCTCGAGTTCACTTCGATAGGTTTTCCATTAAAATCCAAAATGTCAGCATTATTAGATTCAAGTACACCATCCTCTTCATCATCTTCTTCAACAATTTCCAACTTGTCAAAAGCAACAAAGATTCCGCAATCTTCATCACAGTTGAAGAGATGTTTGCCTTGGTAGCAACCATCTGTATAACCCCGCCCCCAACCTTCGTCCTATAAAAAAAGATCATTTATTTTACAAATAAATTCAAGCAGACAAGAATTTGAGTACACAAAAAAATCACAAAATAAACAAAATGTTAAACAAAAGTACCAGACACTTTTTCAAACACCATCTGAACTCCAATCAAATACTCCAATATGAAAGGTACTCACTCAGAGAGGGGTTTGAAGACAATGATAAAGTTATAAAAGATGATCCACTGAGATACTTGCAGTCAGTGGAACTTGGTGAGGATGAGGATATTAGTTGTGGCAACACATGTACAGGAGAGAACTACAGTATACGTGTTGTAAAGATCAGTCTGAACTTCTAAGAGTAGAATTAGAGAGGTTGGCGAAGAGAGCGTTGGAAAGTTCAATCTTCAATGTGGTAATGATATGAATAAAGCTTTCAACAGTAGTAGAGGTGAGAAACTGATGTAATCAAGCAATATTCTGGAGTTGGAAAAGATCAGTATAGTTCATGGGTCAGAAAAGATTTGAGGCCCCTGGACCATTATAGCAACTGGCTTAAAATGACAGAAAATCATGTTTTGAAAATGTTGCTGTTAAGTATAATGCATAGGCCAAATTAATATTGTTTGTATTCAGATACAAAATAATTTGGCACAAGTATTTACCAGAACATAATCTTGGATATAACCACAATATGCCTTTTTTTCACCACATGTTTATACTATGTTTAATTGTAATTTTATCAAATAATCTTCCAGCGGCCACAATGTCAGGTTATATACGTCTAAGCTTTTAATTTTTAAAAATCTTTACATCACTACCAATCAATTTCCATGACCACTCTGATGACGAACGCCAGCTAAAGGTTACTTAGTTTTCAAAATACTTGCATCCGACTGACATTATGCCCCACAATGACACGCTGTATGATATTTAATGAGGTTATTTTTAACCATTTCTAGGCATTAATTCTGTATTTTTCTCCAAATCAATATATTTATAAATGTTCAATGTCACTGGATAAAAAGCCGTGAGGCAGGGTTTTGATGACCATGGTCAGGTACACTCAATGGCACTGTACAAAGGGGAAGAAATGTTTTTTCAAAGTGAGATATACAGTGATGTTAAACTTGCAAAAGGAAATGAGGGAGCTAATGCAAGATTATATAAATCTTATACAATTATAGCTGTTAGTCGATTGGCAGATTGCTTTTCCGGGGTTAATAATCCCTTACAATATATTATAATAATAATTTGGTCACTCAATCCACAACTGTTTGTGGGACACTGCTGTGCCAATTTGATGCCGTGTTTTGACCACAAAATACAGTCAATTCACTTTACACTAAATTCTGTGAAGTGCTTTGAGACATCTCGAAGACACTATATCAAATGCAAGGATTATGATTATATTCTTATATAGACAAAGGCTAGAAATGTTGTCTAATTTCCAGCTTTTTATTAGCAATATATTTTCTTTTATAGTCATTTGTAATGATAGCAGGAACAATGTGAACACTTACCAACAATTCAACTCCAAAACATAATCCAGACAGCGGGTTGCTTTGCAATAACGGTCCCTTAAATCGCACAATGCCAGGTGTTTTTTCTTCACCAGTCCTCAGCTGAACTTTCACTTTTGTGCCACAATCAATCCAGAGTGCTTTCTGTAGTTTTGCTTTGTCTTTAGACAGCATATATCTCTCATCGGGGTTTGGAATGGCTAATAGCAGCTCAGCTATATTTTCATCAATTTCCTGAATATCCTTTTCTTCAACAGACATGATAGGGTATGGTTGTTCTAAGCACTGCACTGACACAAACCTTTTACTCTTACTGGTGCCATAGATATTTGACATATGATGGCCTCGCTCATTGTTTAACATTAATATTCTGCCTTTTGGCAACTTTGCAGACTTCTGAGTCACTCTGTCATTTATACTACAATCTTGAACAACCAAGTAATATTTGTGTTCTTCTCGAAGCGATACATTGGACTTCTCATTGCTCCTTAAAGTGGAACTCATGATGATACAAAAATTCACCGTCTGGGTCAATTGTGCTTAAAATATAACTTGTAACTAAAATGATAAAGAGCCATGAAACATGCTCACTTTGCTTTTTGCTGTATATTAAAACAGATTCTGCTGCAGAATGGTTGAACGAAGTGCATCAATCACACATTCATCTAGAAAAAGAGAGAAAGTATTTCAATAGATTTGCTCAAGAACAACTATTTTAATCAACCAGTCATATTGACTAATTTCTGCATAATGCACAATATATGAATTAGCATTTACAACTCGTAAAGTAAGAAACATATCTACTTTTACAATGCAACAGAGAACCTGTCACAGTCAAGTTTCCTGATTAGTTGGTAAATTGCATTGCTTCCAAGAATACAAACTTGTATAGAAAAAGGGAAATGTATCTTGTCAATCAATAATTAAGGTGCACTCAATTTGTTATAGTGTAAAATTGTGCAGAAGTTTTAACATTACCACTGCAGCAAAATATACATATCTGATCATACATTATTTGAAATCAACCCCATCAATGTAATCTTATTATCTTTACCCCTCTACTGCCTCAAATGGGCATAGATTATCAGATCTGAAAGAGCAACAGTCAGAGAAACTATTGCAAACACTTCGTGGTTTGTCTCTTTGTCAAAGTTATACTTTTATTAAGATACAGAAATAGGTCAATACGCAAAACCAGGGGGTAACGTCTCAGGTTTACACAATCTGAGAAATGTTAAAAGAGTTGGGACAAAACGTAGGGGTTGAGATCAGACAGGTAAAAGAGCTGTCATTAACTAGTAAACAGTGACAGCCCCGAGCAATGACAGTATACCCGCAGCTGTGAGAAATCAGTGTGAGAGGAGAGGAGCGAGAGAGAGAGAGTGGTGGTTTGTATCTGAAAAGGGAAAGGAGGGCGAGGTGATGGGGGGGAGAAAGGAGAAGTGGGGCCCAGGGCAGTAACTATAGTAACCAGAGCCTGCGCTGCACCCCGAGCCCCAGCGGTACCCCACGAACCCCGACTGACACTTGGAAAGTCAAACGTCTGGGGATTAAAACACGTATTTACTTCTTTCTCTCTCTATATATATATATATAAATAGTTCTCTTTCTATATATATATTTCTCTCTCTATATATATATATTTCTCTCTCTTCTCTCTCTATATATATATATCTTCTCTCTCTATATATATTTCTCTCTTCTCTCTATATATATATTTTTTATATATATTTCTCTCTTCTCTCTCTATATATATATATCTTTTCTCTCTATATATATTTCTCTCCTCTCTATATATATTTCTCTCTTCTCTCTCTCTATATCTATATTTCTCTCTCTCCTCTCTCTTTCTCTCTCTCTCTCTATATATATATTTCTCTCTTCTCTCTCTGTCTCTCCTAATATTTTTTCCTTCTCCCTCTCTTACAGCACAGGATGCACTTACAGCCTGGCCTCCTAGGACGGCAGACATGTTCCTCCGGTGAACCTCCCGCGAGAAGCTGGTGTGTGTGGGGGGGGGGTGTCGGGTCGAGAGGGAGGGGGGTGGGGGGGGGTTAGTTCCTACCACTGAGGGTCGCCGACGTTACTAATGGTGGTGGGGGGGGAGGGGAGCGAAGAGCCAACTCTTCCGCGGAGGAAAGAAAGCTCCAGAAAGTTCAGCCCTCGGCGAACGGCCGCGGCCTCGAGTGTGACACGAAGCCCGGCCAGAGAGCCCGCCTCCACCCCCTCCCCGGATTGGCAGGCGCTCCGGACCTGCCAACAATGGGAGCATGTGAGTGGCGAACGGTGCTGCCAATCACAAGCGAGTGTGGGCGGGGCCGTCCCTCCCCCCGCCCCCGCACTGCCCGAGCGGTGGGCGTGGTTATCTCACAGAGTGACAGGAGGCGATGTGGACGGTCATTTGTTGTTGCAATGTTATTTCTGGATCTGTTTAAATTCCCCTTTCGCTCATCGACACGTAAAGGCAGTAATCAGCCTTGCCTTTGAGGCGACTCGTAATCACGTCACCGAGACGCCCCGAAGCGCTTCTCAGGATCTGCGTGTTAAAGTGTCGGGGACCGTGTGTTTTGTGGGCGAGCGTGACGGCCCATTTGCACCCGGCAATGTCCGTATGGCGACTGACCGATTTCATTTCGGGGCAATTGTTGGCCAGGGCTCTGGGAGAAACTCCTTCCTATTCTCACGTAGTGCCACGGGATCTCCATCTGAACAGGATCATAGAACCTCATGTTTTATCTGAAAGACCTGATGCCGCACACACTCTGCACTGCATTGGAGTGTTCGCCTGGAGACTATCAGTTCGAAATCACAATGTTGGGCTTGAATACAGTGTTTGAGGAAACCCACCCCCCAACCCCACCAGATCTGAACCAAAGTGTGTCCACAGGAAAATGGGCACTCAGTCCAACCAGTGGGGACTTCCCACCGTTGTGTAATGAGGAAGTATGCAGTTGAACAGTGCTAAAGTTTTTTTTNAAAATAATGCATTGAAATAGTTTCACATTAGATATTCAGTAAGTGAACGGTTACAAACTACATGGTTGCCCTTTGAAGTACATGTGAAACACTTTGAGGCATCCAATGCGAAAAGCACTCAAATCAAATGCAAGGATTATTGCAGGATGATTATACAAAAGTGAAGTCATTTAGTTAGATAAAAAAGGCCAAGGAACCTGAAAAAGTTAGTGTGGCACAGAAAGTTTGATTTAAAGACAGTAAAGGTGTTCTACCTTATTCTTTTTGGTATTATAATCATGGCATTTGATATAGGGCCTTACTACGTCTTCAAGACGTCTCAAAGTGCTTCACAGAATATACTGCAAAGTGAATTGACTGTTTATTTTGTGGATGAAACGTGGCAGCCAATTGCGCACAGTAGCATCCCACATACAGTCGTGGACTGTTTATTAAAGTAGCGCAAAATGTAGGGAGAAAATTAATTCCATTTATTTATTTAACTCATTCCACATTTGATTCCAGGACTGTTCTGACTGATTGTCTGCCAGACATCAAGTCCTGGATGAGTCTTCTTTCAGTGTAATGAAGCTATCTTGGTTGGTTTGCCAGCAGTTTCACAATTCTGGCTCTGACTCCATCCATCAATCTCTCTAGCTGCTCCCTTAGATTTTTAATCAGTCAGTTCACAGTCTTGGCCTCTGCTTGACTTTTACTGTCCTTCAAATCCCAAATTCAGTCTGTTGCTGAAGACTGCTTTTTTCCATCTCTAAAACATTGCCTGTTTACACTCTTACTTAATTCCCATTGTTGGCAAACTCCTCATTTATGCCTTTATGACCTCAAGGGTAGACTTTTCCAAAGCGCTCCTCGCTGGCTTCTCTGGCTGCACTAAGTTCTGCACACCCATTAATTAAGCAATTGGTTCCCAGTGTGCCAACAGAATGACTAAGATCTTTTCCCTAACGGTAAAATTGCTTCATCTGCTTTTAATCTCTTCTAGCCCATCTTCCTTCCATACTTTGTGCGCACCTGATTCTGGTATATTAGTTGCTTCTTACCCCATCCCTCTCGCCCTTGGTGGCCTTCTGCCACCATGCACCTGTCCTCTGGAATTCATTTCCAAAATCTCTCAAGGATATCTCAAAAGCATCTTAAAGGTTTAACTCGTTGACTGGGCTTTTGGTCAACATTATCATGAATGTTGGGGGAAAGCCCAGTCATCTTTCCCCCCTCAAGATCATCTCTATTATCTTTGTCAGCCACTTCGAGATGTTCAACCTACATAAAAGGAACTCATCAAGCACAAGTTCTGGTTGTTAACTTAAATATTTTTATTATATATTTACCTGATTCAGTGATTTGTTTGACTGTTTTGCTTTAGGATGGCAAAAGCCATAAAAAAACAAACATCTTCCTTACGTTATGAAGTGATGGCAATTATAGATGTAAGAATTTGAACAAAGTTCTACTGAATAACAGAGTTGGAATTGATAAAAGTTCACACCAAACAGTTCACTAGATCTTTCAAAGTGATGCTAAGCATTTTCTGCATTAATTGCAAATACTTTATGTTTCTGCCACACCCTCATTCCTTTATTTTTAATGCAGTAGGACAATAGCGGTAGCCTTACAGAATTTTAGAAAGAAACAAAATAAATTAGGTCAAGCTGAAATAGGAAAGTATAGATATTTTCAGAACAGGATAGTTCAGTCTTATACACGTCATCATTCAGCAACGGAATTCGTCATCAAACACCTTCGTAACCTGTTTAGAATGCAGAAGCATAAATCTCTTCCTGTACACAGCGAATGTTAATGTGGGGGGAGGTAATTATTATGTAAACTGCTGACTCTAGAGATTCCTTTCATCAGATCGGAATTCTAAAATTGCTATGGGTAAGACTGCACCCTTTCTTAAAAAAAAGTAATATTTTGCTGGTTCAGAAGATAGCTTTCATCAAGGACTTACTCCGGTATGCAAATGTTTTGTAACAGAATCCAGTACTGCTGCAGCTAGGCTTCTTATGTATTAATCTGCTTGTAACAAATATTACTACTATTCTCAACTCAATGTAAATAACTGCACTTGTTCCAGGATATTATACAACATTGCTAAACATCAATGCTTGTAGGATGTCAAGGTTATCTACCAGTTTGCATTGAGGTGCATTGAGGTCTCCACTCTAGCCTCGGCCAAGTCGTCCTTCTACTCCAGGATAATCCTGGAGGCGAAGAACAACCCCAGGCTACTGTTTTCCACCACAACCCGACTCCTCCGTCCCCCCCGCCACCCCGCGCAGGTCATCTCCTCCAACCTTCACTGCGAGGAGATGCTGGATTTCCTTGAATCCAAGATCAAGGGAATCCGCTCCGCGGTCACTTCCCCTCCAACTTCCACCCACCACCCACCCCTTCCCTCCCACACTCCGACTCCTACCCATCCTCCCCTACACACCTTCGTACCCGTTTCCCCACCCTCTGTCACTGAACTCATCCTATCCCTAAAACCAACCACCTGCTCCCTTGACCCCATCCCCACTCCTTATCTCCCAGCTCCACTTTCTTGCCCCACATATCACTGACATCATCAACCTGTCCCTCTCCTCTGGCTCTGTCCCCATTCCATTAAAAACTGCCATCATCACGCCCACCCTGAAAAAACCCTCCCTTGATGCGTCGCAGCTATCAAGCTACCGGCCCATCTCCAACCTCCCCTTTCTCTCCAAGGTCTTGGAAAGAGTTGTCGCCTCCCAACTGCGCTCTTTCCTTTCCACCCATTCTCTTTTCGAACCCCTTCAGTCAGGTTTCCGTGCTGCCCATAGCACAGAAACTGCCCTGGTCAAGGTCACCAATGATATCCTGACCATCTGTGACCAGGGCTCCCTCTGTCTCCTCGTCCTCCTCGACCTATCGGCAGCATTCGATACGGTCGACCACGCTATCCTACTCCACCGCTTGTCCTCCCACCTCAACCTTCAAGGCACTGTCCTTGAATGGTTTAGGTCGTACCTTTCTCACCGTCTTCACTTTGTCTCGACGAATGGCTTCTCCTCCACCCCCCGCACTGTCTCATGTGGTGTCCCTCAGGGCTCTGTCCTCGGTCCCCTCCTCTTCACCCTCTATATGCTCCCCCTCGGTGACATCATCCGCAGACATGGAGTTAACTTCCACATGTATGCGGATGACACCCAACTCTACCTTTCCTCCTCTACTCTCAACTCCACGACCACCGATGTCCTGACAGCCTGCCTGTCCGACATCGAGTCCTGGACGAGAGACAACTTTCTTCAGCTCAACGTGCGAAAAACCGAGGCCCTCCTGATTGGCTCACGTCAGCGCCTCCGCACCTCAGGCGCTGACACCATCAGCATCCAAGGCTGCACTCTCCACCTCTCAAAGCCAGTCAGGAACCTCGGCGTTTTGTTCGACCCTGAGCTGTCCTTTCTCCCTCACATCCGCACCACAACTGGCACCGCCTTCCATCACCTCCGGAACATCGCCAGACTACGGCATTACCTCACCCCTCACGCTGCTGAAACCCTGGTTCACGCCTTTGTCACCTCAAGGCTGGACTATGGGAACTCTCTCCTCGCCGGCCTTCCCGCCACCTCCCTCCACAAGCTGCAGGTCATTCAGAACTCTGCAGCTCGTGTACTGTCCCGCACCAGGCTTCGGGACCACATCACTCCCACCCTCGCTCGCCTCCACTGGCTCCCCATCCCCCAGAGGATTGATTTCAAGATCCTCATCCTCACCTACAAGGCCATTCACGGCCTTGCTCCCTCCTACCTCTCCAACCTACTATCCCCCTACCTACCTGCCCGTACCCTCCGTTCCTCTGGCTCCGGTCTGCTCCACGTCCCCCGCCCCAACCGCCCTACCATCGGTGGTCGGGCCTTCAGCCTCTCAGCCCCCAGGCTCTGGAACTCTATCCCCCAGTGCCTTCGCCTTGCTTCCTCCCTTTCCTCCTTCAAGGCCGGTCTCAAAACCTTTCTCTTTGACCGAGCCTTCAGCTCCCCTCTCGACTCTCTTCCCCTCCTCGCTCCCTCCCTTCCCTCCCCTCACCCTGACCATTTCCCCCCTGCTCGGGTCATGACCCAACTGTGCAGCGCCTTGGGACGTCCTCCTGACGTGAAAGGCGCTTTATAAATGGAATCTTGTTGTTGTTGTTGTTGTTGTGGACATGAATAGGTGACTGATAGACAGCTTGTGGTTAAGAAAAAAGGATGGTTGCTTACGAATGATTATCTTAGTGTTCAAATTGAGAAGTAGTGGGCTTCAGTGAACCAAATGGCCTTTCCATTGTATGCTTTATCTTACACCTTCCTACAGTCTTCTGCAAGCCCTTTTGTCCCAGCAGTTGTTACACTGTTATTTCCCAATCAAGGAATATTAGAGAATGCATACAGGAAATAGACACAACCTTAAACTGCAAATGGTTGAGAATGGTTCATTTGTTGAACGTTTACTAAATTAAGGATCTTACCTCAATGCTAGAAAGTCATAACTGTGCTTCCGAAGGCCTGCAAATTGCTGGGCCAATTAAGTTGTTGTGAAATAATCTAAATTAGAAAAAGTAAAAAGTCAGTGCCGGTTCCCAGAAACCTTCGTATCTGACACAGGAAATGTAGGGCCTATTGTGTCACTGTAACAACCTACAGTGTATAATATTTTGCCCTTTTCAAAAGTTTTTGTGATTTTAATCTTTGTGATTTTAGTCCTTGTGATTTTATTTAGAATCGACCATTTGTTAAGCAGTTGTGAAACACTGACAAGTCTGTCCTCTCTGCCATTTGTAAACGCCAGTCCCATGTTCAGCAACTCATCTTATCATCTGATTAAGTTCTACTTCCACATTTTTTTGAAAGTTTTGACTGCCAAGTACTCGGTCCACCAGTTTGGAAGCACCTTCATCAGAAATGGTATTTGCCCAGAGTCTAGTAGGTAATATTTATGAAATGAGTCAAAATAAATTAATTTTTAATGCATAGGTAGTTTGGGACACATGTGCACGCGACCGCCAGGAAGGTGGAAGGCAAACTAGATGGAGCTTGGTCTTTTTTCGTCTAGCATTTCTTATGTACTTATGTTATGTTCACATGGGCACCAAATTTTGTTTGTTTGGAATAAGACAAGATTGTTTTTATTGAAGTGAATATGGTATTTGTCCACTAGGTGGCAACGTCTTACTATCTGTAGATTAAATAGTTACTGTATTATTGTGAGGACAAGGGGGTGGTGCAGGACAAATGAAGGTTAGGATTTAGAAGCCTGGATGTTAAACTGATATCATGCTTATATGCAGCTCCAGGTAATAAGAGCTTAGATTTCACTAGTCAAGCGCAGGCTTACTGTGTCTAATACCAGCAAGTATTATTCCCCATCAGGCACAGAGCTATCTGAGACTTGTAATTTGAAACTACTTTGTAGTTTGTATTTTGAAGGAATAGCTGAAGGGTACGTTTACACCAGTAAAACGCACAAAAGCATGGAATAAACCTGCTCCCTCAACAGCCACATAAAAATCTTCCAACATGATTTGGGTGAATTTGTACTTCTTCCTCCAGCAGAGCAGTGGACCACAATTGCTGTACAACGGTCACATGTAACTACAATCTCAAAACGTTCAGCAATCAAAGGAATTATTCAACGTTATTCAATAAATTGTCAAGGGTCATCACTAATAATAGAAAAAAAATAGGGAATATAAGTGAGAAAATTATTGTTAATTCCAACGCCAATTAAATTAGCAAGTTTATGAATCAGCAGAAATGTAGAAACACGTTAGACATGCATTATTTGTTTAGAAACATAGTGAAATTTACAATTTAACATAAAATAAATAAACCTGCCTGCTCCCTCCGTTCAGCGGGCTCCGGCCTCCTCCATGTCTCCCGCCCAACCCGCCTTACCATCGGTGACCGAGCTTTCAGCCTCTCTGCCCCCACACTCTGCAACTCTATCCCACAGTCCCTTCACCTCGCTTCCTCCCTTGTCTCCTTCAAGGCCGGTCTCAAGACCCTCCTCTTCGATCGTGCCTTCAGTCGCCCTCCCACCTCTATGCCTTCCTTTACCCCTACCCCACCCCTCTCCCATGCTCGGGTCCTGACCCCTGACTGTCCAGAGCCTTGGGGCGTCCTCCCGACATGAAAGGCGCTCTATAAATGTAATTTGGTTGTTGTTGTATGCTGAAGAGAAAGTTCTTGTAACTCAGATGAGGGCCGAGAAGTCAAGATATAACTGCCAAGTTCTGATCAAACTCATTTCTTCTTTGTCCTATTTGCATCTCTTTTTAACCGCAGACGTAGGACTCAAAGAGCTGTCTCATAAATCCCAAATGCTGCATTCTCAAACTCAAATCACTTACTAAATGGGCTGGCAAAGTCCAAGCAGGAAGAAGTTGCTCAATTCCTGTATCACCAACTAAAATGTACTTCAGGCATAAACCCACTGAGTTTTCATGGGTTCCAGGCGTAACACTGGGCAGTGTATTCAGCTTACTCTATCCCGAAATAGGTCAACTCTTAAGTGCTCCACTTTGAACTTGCTAATGGCTGTTTTGGCTAGATGACTGCCCAGCATTTTATAAATGCACTTGATCCACCAGACAAACTTTGTCAATATGTGCATGCTCTTCTTTTCCCCGCACACAGCTGTTGGTATAGGCAAGAAGTGCTTCTGTAAGCTCTTTGCTAAGTATTTTTGTACTTGTTCGTGCTTCTTAGGCAGCTTATGGACGAGATAGGACTAACTCACAAGCTCTCTGTGCTGCTGGAAAACAGACCAAACTTGAAGCTAACTGTAAAGGCAAAAGGCAAAATACTGCAGATGCTGGTGGAAATCTAAAATAGAAACAGAAGTTGCTGGAAACACTCAGCAGGTCAGGCAGCATCTATGGAGAGAGGTAAATGAATTAAAGTTTCAGGTCGATGACCTTTCATCAAAACTCAAGGTCCCGATGAAAGGTCATCAACCTGAAACATGAACTCACTACCCTCTCTCCTTAGATGTGACTGCTGTTTTTATTTTCTAAAGCTAACTGTCATTTGCAGGTTTGGTTTCTCAACTTCCTGTAATACTTCTCCTTTCTTTCTATTTGGTAGATAAGTAATAATAATGTGAGCAACGTTTATCCACACTGCTGGCATTATGTTCAAAGTGTAGAACTAAGCTTCTTCTGAAATGTTAACCAAATGTTACGTGAATGTACAGAGACATTGTACAGTGATTCATTTCACTGCACTACATTTGTTACTGGTGCTATTTCATTGCTTCCTCACATTGTCTGGACATTGAAAGTAATGTGTTACTACCTGTACGAGCGCTAGAAGCTTTCTAGATTGCTTGCCCTAATCTGATTCCATTTATTTTATATTGCATTACTATGTTTGCCTACAAAATACATAGTCACTGCACTTTACAATAAATACTGGGCCATTGAGACTGCCCTCTGAGGGATTTTTAATAACCTTGTCTGGTTAGAAACTGTCCCTTTCTGTTTGAATATATTATCAAAGTATATAATTTCTGTGCTCTGGGAATTGCTATATCTTATTATACCTGTGATGTTCTTAGTTCCAAATAGGTCAGACCATCTCACTTAGCATTCATGATGCTAGGCTTAAAAGACTCAATGGTCATCCTGTGTGAATAGAGCTAGAGATGAATTTAACTGATGGAACTATATATGAAGAAAGCATTGCTTCAAAAAAGTTACTGAAGATTGAATGTTATTAATCATGGCTTCTTTTTATGGCTAGTGTTATGCATCATGGTGCTTCCTCTTATGGTCAGTACCATTGTAAAAGTCCCTTTGATCTTTAAATCTTCTGCCAGTATCGCACATTGCAAACTGTGAACACATACAGCTGCTCTGCTTTACATGTATATTCTGTTTCAACTTTAGAAAATAAAGTACGGGTTATTTCTTCTGGGTATTTTTTTACTGTGGTCTTAATAAGATGAAATCCTGCAAGCAATCTTACAGCACAGAATGCACTCTTGCAGTCCTAATTGCTGCAAGGCTATAATATTTTCATTACTTTGGAATAGCGAAGCTCAGGCCAATATTCCATTTATCATATTAATCCCCTTCCTCCAGAATCCCAGCTATGGAATAGATTCACTTTGCCTTTAAATACATAGTCTCTATACCTTACAGTAAAATCCTGTGCCGTGCTATGAGACATATCAATCATATCAATCAATCAATCAATCATACATATCAGTAAGGAGCTACATCAAATGTACTGTTATATATACTGTACCTTTGAATGTGAACCAGTACCTCTCTCCCTTTCTCTAACATCCTTCATTGAATGACCGCTTTTACCTGGGGGTTGATTGTCTTGGACACTGTGAGAAACTTCCTTCTCTTTTCAAATAGTGCCATTTCACTCACAAAATACACAGTCAATCCACTTTACAGTCTATCCTTTGAGACATGGTAAATTAATCCTTGCATTTGATATAATGATTTTCAAGTCTTTTAGATGTCTCAAAGCGCTTCACAGAATAGACTGTAAAGTGAATTGATTGTATATTTTGTGGGCGAAACGGAGCAGCCAATTGCGCACAGCAGTGTCCTACAAACAGTTGTGGCTTGAGTGACCAAATTATTATTGTTTTTTTTCTTGAGGAATTATTATCAGGCGTGTGGGAGTAAGGAAACTTGCCCAAGGTTTCACCCTTCTGGGAATTGAACCCAGGTCTCTCGCTTGCAAGGCGAGTGCTTTAACCACTGAGCTACAGGACTCCTTGTAAGGTGCTATACCAAATGCAAGGATCATTCTTATTATTATGGGATCTTAAACGTCCACCTGAATAGGCAGACAGGACCTTGGTTTTTAATGTCTCACTTGAAGGATGGCACCTCTGACAATGCAACACCTCCCCCAGCACTCCCTGATACACACATTGTTAATATCTTAATAGGTAGAAAAAATGCTTATTACATGCTCCATTTTTCACTCCAATCTAACAGAGGGAACTGCACAGAACTGCAGGATGGAGAAGTAATGTTTTAAAAAGGAGCTTTACAAATTATCAATAAATGGTCCATTTGCAGCAGTCACTATTGTACTGCCATTGGATACCTCACCTGTAAATGGAATGTACTGATAAACAGTGAAGGTGACCAGAATAATATAATAATAATAATCCTTGCATTTGATATAGTGCTTTTCACGTCTTCTAGACGTCTCAAAGTGCTTCACAGAATACGGTGTAAAGTGAATTGACTGTATATTTGTGGGCGAAACACAGCAACCAATTGCACACAGCATTGTCCCACAAACAGTCGTGGATTGAAAATGACCAATTTATTATTAATATTATTAATATTATTAACTGAAGCTAGGTCACTAATAGGTCATTAATAACCTGCAAACATGCCTTGTCTGGAGCAAAATGGGTAGTACAACAACGACAACAAGATTCCATTTATAGAGCACCTTCCACGTCGGGAGGACGTCCCAAGGCGCTGGACAGTTGGGTCAGGACTCGAGCAGGGGGGAAATGGTCAGGGTGAGGGGAGGGAGCAAGGAGGAGGTAGAGAGTTGAGCTGAAGGCACGGTCAAAGAGAAAGGTCTTGAGACCGGCTTTGAAGGAGGAAAGGGAGGAGGCAAGGTGAAGGAACTGGGGGATGGAGTTCCAGAACCTCGGGGCTGAGAGGCTGAAGGCCCGGCCACCGATGGTAGGGCGGTTGGGGCGGGGGATGTGGAGCAGACCGGAGCCAGAGAAACGGAGGGTACGGGCAGGTAAGTAGGGGGATAGTAGGTTGGAGAGGTAGGAGGGAGCGAGACCGTGAATGGCCTTGTAGGTGAGGATAAGGATCTTGAATTCGATCCTCTGGGGGATGGGGAGCCAGTGGAGGCGAGCAAGTACAGTACTTTAATTGGATTTAAAGTGACACTGCCTTTTTCCAAACCTTTTCTTGCCAGTTTGCAAAAACTAGCAGCAATAATACAAGGCGTGTGAAGACACATCACAGAGACATTTACGATTGAGGTCAATGCAATCCAATCAAGAGAAAAGTTCTTCAAACTTGAAAGAAAATGCAAACGCTTTTTTTTCCTCCAAGCACTTTCTGATGAATCTAGTGGCCCTTTTAAAGACCTGCTCTTTCATTTTCATTTCGCACAGACTCCTCCCTTTCTAGAGTCCAGAAGTTTAGAATAGAGGAACATCGCTTTCATCTTCCTCTATCGCCTCCAATCATGTAAACCACGGTGTCACTGTCAAGACTACGTGGAATCGATAGAAATGTGTTTCAGCAGCGTAAAAGTGGAAGCAGACACTTGTTGATTACCTTCCTGCAAATAGCCAAGTCTGCTTTGCTCCATCAAAAGAAGGTTAGTTCAACACTGTCCAAAAATCTTTGGAAGAATCAGCAATGGGGCGAGGCCTGCGTTAAATATAATAATCCAAGATTTAGTAGACTTTGCATTATCTTCCTGTAGTTCACAATATACATTGCACACAATATACAGACTCTATTTGACCTCATTGCTCTGCACATCGTTCAGGCAAATGTTACTGGTGATTTTGAGTGTCTGCATTTCTCGAGTTAGTGAGAAAGACTGAGTGGTTAAATAGAAGTTTAAATAGTATAACATGAAACATGTTTCCTTCGATTTTTTCTGCCCTTTGCCCTGACAGCACTGACTTACCCTGAAGTTAAGTTCCAAGGGTGGTGGACACCTCCTGCAATCTATTTGGGATGTGGGTAGGTATGGAATGGGTTGGGGGAGAGAGAACAAATGACATCTAGGTGATATTGTCACCCAACAACCTCAGCTGCACTTTCCATTAAGGAGGCACTGGTTAGGAATAGGAATCTTGTCTGATATTTCCTACTGTGCAGGACCCCTGACAGCATCCTCACAGCTTCCTCAGGTGAAAGCTTCAGACTCAAATCTGAGGCCTTGTGTTTCTATGTGACTTGTTTCATTCTAAACGGACTTTACCAAGTGGAAGAGAAACACTTTAAGAGAACAGAGATTTGAAACTGTACAAAAGTGGGTTTAAAATCACTGTTGTTTTTTTAAAAAAAAGCTACATCTGGGAGGAGAGAAATTATAACACGTTAAAGGGATATGAATTTTTTTTTCTATGTATATTTAGAGTTTTGAACCTGGGGATTCCTTAAAGAAAAAAATATGTGGGACATTATTGCAAGCAAATTGGCTGCTGCATTTATAGTTTGTAGTTCACCTACTCAAGCATGTAGCAGGTGTTGGTGTAAATGTGAATGTGTACTGCCAAGAGAATAGTTTGCGTCAGATTCCCTCCAGTGTAAATTCCGCATCATGAAGAGTAAAATTAATCTAGATCCATGACTGAATGAATTAGAATGCAACAGTTCTCATGTCACTGGTAGATATATAGTTTGGACGAAGCACAGTTGTATAAATATGTTGCAAAAATCTTAACGTGGTTTCTGATTGAAGTTCCTGTCAAGCGGCTGTTCTGTACTGGACATGGCCACGCTCAGTTTCCTGAATGCTTGTAATCTTCACGCTTGCCTTCTCAACCACTACTAAAATCTTTCCCCCCCCACCACCATCCTGCATTATGCTTCAGTCATGAGGTTGGAGTGACATGGGCTTCATGGCCTTTCACAACCCGTGTCAAAGCTCACACCGTACAAAGCTCAATTCTCCTGCTCACTCACACTCTAATAAAATTCTGTTAGAAGCTATTCACCGACGAGCAGTAATATTAATCATAATAATTTTTTCCATTTGATCTATGCCTTTCACTTTGGAAGGATGTCTTAAAATGCTTCACAGGATATAATGTAAAGCGTAGTGACTGTATTTTGTAGGCAGATATGGCAATCAATTTGTGCCCAGCAATGTTCCACCAACAGACATTAGTAGAGTGATTTCGAATAGTTAACAGCAGGACAGTTCCCGCTCCTTTGCTAAGATATCCATGCACACATGAGCTACGTGTGTTGACATAACACAGTTGTGGTATGTCTCTGGCTCAGAATGTTGTGGGACAAAATTGTGCACCAGGCCGAGATCGATATCCAGGTTTACAGTTTGTTGTACTATTTGAGGTCTTTTAGATAAGATATTAAATTGAGATCCTATTGGTGTTTCAGGTAGATGCTAAAGACCCCACTGCACTAATACGAGGTGCAAGTGATTTCCAAAAAAATACACCTTATGTTTCAAACTGTAAGATTGGAACGGCACCTAGCAACAATGTACAGCTATAACCTGCTGTGGGATTTGAATAAAATGCTTAGAGTATTGTTAAACAGTGCTGCTCCATGGGATAATCCCCTGACAGGTGTTATTACAAATAGAGAAGGTGAAAAATGAGGAAGAGGTGGATTTGAGGTGTATCTTTTTGAAAGGAATGGTTTAGTACTGAGGATCTTAAAACCACAAATCCATTTTGAAACCAAGCAATTTCCCCAAACCAGGGCTTGGATTAAGGAACAATGCCTCTGTAAAATTCTGTACCTACCCTAGAGCATTGCCGTTGAACAAATCCCTACTTCACCCCACCTTTCAATATTGCAAGAAAGCTAGACTAAACCGGCTTTAGTTAATCATCACTTCCATGGATCCCTTTTAGTCAGTAGTTTCTAATCTTTTAAAAAAACATACTCTTGCTTTGCGCAGGTCTGTGCAGTCACAGCAATGGAAGATAACAAACAATATCAGGACCCTTCCGAACCGAAGAAGCCTGGTCTTTCTGAGACGCTCTGCAATGTGAAGCTGAATGATGAAGTAAGCACCACTGGAACTGACAGTGCAGCTCACACAGCACAAGGAACAATGGAACAAGCGGCTCTGGATACCACACCAGGTCAGAGATGAGTCCACTAAATGCATTTCCACTGCTGTACGTAATCGGCTGCTGTGTTTTGCCCACAAGATACACAGTCAATTCACATTGCAGTGTATTCTGTGAAGCGCTCTGAGACGTCTCAAAGACGTGATGAGGCATTATATCAAATGCAAGGATTATATTAATGTTTATCTCTCTTATCAACTCCAAACACCATGGATATAATCAATGCTTGCTTCTCAACCAGTAGTGAATGAGACGTGCGATGGACATTTTACAGATGTGCTACTGAGCTAAAGCCAACCTCACCTTTATAAAAATTTTGTCTCTCAGCGTATCACAGTCCTCCAGTTCCGGAGACATTGCTCACCACAAAACAACTGCTGCAGTACTGGACTGCTGTGAACAAGAGAGTGAAACCCATTCGACTCCTCTTTGACATCCCAGAAACTAGAACAGTGGAGAGTCAGTGCTCCAAATATGTGGTAAGTTTGATTGAGCAGCCCAAGATCACGCATCACTATATATTGATGATCCCTGAGCTAAAGCCAAAGTTCCCTTTGAAAATTATTGTTTTTTTAGTATATTATAGTCCTCCAATCGCACAAATGTTGTGTGTTAAACAGGACGTGTTGAAGTTAGGAAATACTTCAAATTATACCCTAAATGCACATTGAGGAGTTTTTTGGAGTGTACTCTTTGTATTTCATATTTTAATGTTATACCCAGATCTTTGAAAACACAAATGACTGCTCTCTGTGTTTCCTAATCCATTCACAGCAACTGCACTGCTTTCTAAGGTTTCTGCCTGGAAGCTTTATCATGGGTGAAAACAAATAGTGTATGCATTTTGGAATGTCCCACTGAAAAAAGGGGAAGCGCAAGAGAAAGTGCCTTGTCCTTCCTACTCCCTCAATATTCTACCATCCACTTCCTGTTCCAAGCAAACTTCATAAAAAAGCCCATTAAAACTCCCTGACTGATGATCGCCATTGATAATTTCTCATCATTCAACATTGAATAACATCACATTTTTCAAGTGAATCAAAAATTCAAGACATATCTGCCATGATTAACTTTTTTNGGCAATATTACATTAGAATATATTAGAATATACAGCACAGAAACAGGCCATTCGGCCCAACTGTTCTATGCCGGTGTTTATGCTCCACTTGAGCCTCTTCCTGCCCTTCCTCAACTAATCCTTCAGCATAACCTTCAATTTATTTCTCCCTCATGTACCTATCGAGTGTTCCCTTAAATACATCTATACTATTTGCCTCAACAACTCCTTGTGGTAGCATGTTCCGCATTCCCCCTACTCTCTGTGTGAAGACATTTCTTCTAACTTCCCTATTTGATCTATTTGTGACTATTTTATATTGATGTCCCCTGGTTTAAGTTTCCCCACAAGTGGAAACATCTTCTCTATGTCTACCCTATCAAGACCTTTCATCATTTTAAAGACCTCTATCAGGTCACCCCTTACCCTCCTCTTTTCGAGAGAAAAGAGTCTAAGCTTGTTCAGCCTTTCCTGATAGGTATAACTTCTCAGTTCGAAGCTCCTTTGCAATATTGTTGTGATCTTCTATCAGTTTTTAAAAAGGCTATTATTCTATTTATGTGTATGGGGCCCACTGAAATGAACTGATAAAATCAGTCAGTACAGAGAGGTGCTTTACATGTATTATACAAACCCATTTCTTTCACTACAATCCACAATATTACAGTTAAGATACAAAGAAAATCTGCCTTTTTTTAAGAAAAAAATACAAATTATTTTTCGAATTTTCTCCTTATTGACATAATCTACCTCTGCTCCTGCTCTGCACTCCTCTTGCTGAATTGCACTGGACAGTCAGAGATCCACACCCAAGCTAGTGGTTGGGATCAGGAGGAGTGGAGGGCAGGAAGAGTAGGTGTAAGAGGGTGACGGAAGGCACAGTCGAAGAGTAGCTTCTTGAGGCAGGTCTTGAAGGAGGCAAGGGAGGGACGAGGCAGAGGGACTGTGTGATCGAGTTCCAGAGGGTGGGGGCAGAGAGGCTGAAGTCCCACCTGCCCAGCTGCAACACATTGCACACCATCAGTAGAGGTTGCTGAAGATTGATCAGGACATGTAATTTGGTTTTACCTTTCCAAACATTAGGAAAGCTAGGGCCAATTTAGCCTTCCCATGTCACCCAAGCTGAGACCAGTAAACTCAGCAGCAATTGACCAGCATTTGAATCAGCGAGCTTGTGAATTGTGCTCTCTTTAGCAATCTGCCACCAGCGAGCAACCAATAAACCTGGTTTATAGTAATCTGGTGCTGAATTTTGCATGCTCACGTATGCTGCAGAAGTCTCATAGAAAAGTAGATTTTATATCAACAGTTAACATGAAGATAACAATTAGTCTCATTTATAAAAGGAAAGCAAGAAAAGAGGGAGGGAATTTCAGAGGTTAAGTTTATAATATTGTGGGAGACATTAAAACTTCTATTTGGCAGTTTTTTTAAAATGAACAAGTGAAGGTAACAATTAAAGTAACACAATTCAGTGTAAATTAAAAGTAAGAGCAGAATAATTGTTGCTTTTAATTTCTACTTTATCCACATTAATATTACACCCACCACAGCCTCACTCTAAACTAACTGATCTCTGTGCCAAGTAGCAACAGAGAATGGAAGAAAAAAAACTAGGAAGGTATCAACTCTAACACCGATGTGTGTGTTCGTGCGGGAGATAAGATTCTTTGCAAAAATAAAAGGGAAAACGGATAGAAAAACATATGTTGGGAACATAGTTAAAAGAAAATGATACTCTTTTACTGACTCATGCTAGTGTGTGGTTCCACAGGTTCCAACTGCACTCAAGTAACCTACCAAACTGGCCAATATAAATGATTCCAGGCGCAGAGAACTGAGCACACACCTACCTGCCTCCAACATCCATTCTTTCCAGCAGGGGGTCACAAGCAGTTGAGAGTGGATTAATATTACTAGCCATTACATAACATTAAGCCTCCATCTCAAAACATACATCTTTGACCATGCTTTCGGTCACCTTTCCCTCTCCCTCCCCATCCACCCCAGCTTCCATCCACAGTCCGGGTACCTCTCTGACATTGTCAAGCACATTGAGAAATCCTCCCGACATGAACTGCACTGTAGAAATGTAAACTATTATTGGGTTATGTATGGGTTACTGTTTGTGCCACAGTTCCAAAGCAGGTGGCAGCGACGTGTGAGGTGCGTATTTTTTATTTTGGTGGCTGCAGTCTAGACAGCAGGTTGATGCCAAAATTATATTAAAAAAAACAACAAAGAGCTACCATGTTTGCCTGTGGCAAGAGTAATTAGTCACAAATCAAAAGCGCGTAGCTCCAGAACAAACGACCTCCGTTGCCTAAATGAAATCTTATTAAGTGTGAATGAATAGGATTTATTGCTGATGGAGTCTCTGTAGTAATGAGAGCCAGAAACAAAGCTCTCATTGGTGTTCTTCTCGTGTCATTCTTCTCGTGTCATTGCATTTGTTTGTACTTTGGAACATCCTAATAATAAAAAGAAAAAAAATGTAATACTTAAAGAGCGACAAAAAAGTGGTTGCAAGTGGATCACAAGGGTGTGGGTTCGAGAACTCAGAATAGACTGAACTGACATTCAATCACAGTGCTGGAGGAGCACTGCATTGTTGGAAGTGCTGTCCTTTGGATGAGATGTTAAACCAAAGCCCTGTCCGCCTGTTCAGATACACGTTAAAGATTCCACATCTGTACTGGGTTTCCGCATCTGTCAGACAATTGGCTGACCTCCCCCCAAAAAATCAGTGGATCCCTTAATCAAGCTGGTCCTTGATCTAAATGCCTGCCTTGTGCACTGTACTGTACTATACAGTGCGGTTGCTTGAGACACTCACTACTTTTGTCCCTTATGCATCAAATGGACTCCCCTCACACACACATACACACATGCTACTTGAGAGACAGAATTCCATTAGTTAATGTTGGACTACACACTGAACCCTTGTGGTTTCTAATGAAATATTTTGTCATTCGGTGATCTCACTCCGAACTGTTCAGAGTTTATGTCCTGATCATTTTTTACTGTCACAGATGTACAAAGTGGTGGTGATAAGATCTGGCACGTACGATGGCAACCAAGCTTCCATCGAGAGGAGATATTCCGATTTTGAACGATTACATAAAAACATCGTCAAGAACTTTAAAGAAGAGGTGGAGGAAATTGCTTTTCCAAAGAAAATTGTATCTGGAAACTTCACTGAAGAGAAAATCACAGAACGTAAATTGGCATTCATAGACTATCTGGGAAAGTTATATGCAATCAAAGACATCCGTAATGCTGAGGAGTTCACTGACTTCTTCTTCCTCTCCGAGGTACGAGAAGGTTACACGTGCCTTCGAGGCGGACAGTACACAAGAGCTCTGGACATCCTTCTCAATGTCTTGAGTTTGCAGGAAAAACTGTACTCAACTGACTCGCAGAGGCTTGTTCCTACACTCAGTGCCATCAGTGTGTGCTGCAAAGATTTGGGCAACATGGAGAACGCCTACCGTTTCAGTGAGAAAGCCGGAATCATTCTGCAAAACTACAGTCACCATAAATATCTTATCCCTCTGCTCAAAACCCAGATTAGCCTGGGTTATTCACTGGACAAAGATATTCGCCAAGTGGGACAGAAGGTGGCAGATATGGAGGAACTGCAGGGCCAAAGCAACATGATCTCACTGAAAGAGCTTGTGGTGCAGGAGTACGTGTGACAACAACATCAACTTGCATTTATATAGCGCCTTTCATGCAGAATAGACTCGGAGCTCTTAAAATATGTCTTCCACAAAATGTTATTGCACCAACTGTACCTAAAGTGTATCTATAAAGTACATATCTCATACATCTTCAAAGGCTATCTTAATTTTACAGATTGTACAATTGATTTCTCTGAAAGCAGGCAAGATCTTTCGGTGAAACAAAAATTGCTTTTACATTTTTAAAAAGAATCCTCTTTGGATACTCAAATTACACCTTTAAATCACACGTCGCAAAATGCAAATCATCAGTTATTTTAGAATGTGTTTACTGTTAAACTGTAATAGCCTGTGTACTTATACGCTGGATTTTATGGTTGGTAATTTCAAATGATAATAATCGTTGAATTTTTTTTAAAAAAAGGCATCAAATACAGCACTATAGGATTTGGTAGCTGCCTATTCGTTACTAGACAGCAGCAAATCTATTTACCAGAATATAAAAGTTACTTTAGATGTTGAGAATAAATAGTTTGAAAAGGACGTGGGAAACATTTCGGCTCGTCAGTACTTAATGGACAGATTACAAATGAGATTTTCACAAAGGATGGGCATTTTTAACATGCAAATGAATCCCCTGAAATCGCTTTGCCTTCTGCATCTTCCCACAGAGTTCTCAGATTTATACCTAGGTCTGGAAATTAACTCGTGTCAAACTCAAAGGAGAACCATTCTTACTTTGCCCCATCCTCCAACCTCACATTTTCCATGGTGACCACTAGATGGTGCTGGTCCATATGCTGGATATGTTCCACTGAACCGTCCAATCTGAATAGACAGTGACATCAGCCGTTCCCAAAAAACAGTCCATCTCAATTTATGTCTGAATGCAGTAGGGAGGTGCGGTGTGATAAGAGAAAACTTGAATCAAGAATTCATGAGCAAAATAATTTGACCAGATAAAGGTTGCGGAATATATGTTTGATTTGTAACAAATAAAGTAGAGGATACTTTGGAGATATCTAGGGGATACTGATTCGGGAATTATGGAAGGTGACTTTTTCCAGTGTGCGTGGAACACTATTAAAGCTTTTCTCATGAATGAGATGGAGACTCTATTTCATATTTTCTCCCAACTATTTATTCGTATCAACCCGGCTCAGTTGATGGTACGCTCACCTCTGAGTCAGAGGTTGTAGTTTAAACCCCCCTAGAACTGACAGTCTGGCTGACCTGCCAATACAATACAATACAGGGTTGGAGAAGTTCTGCATTGTTGGAGGTGTCATCCTTTGGATGAGATATTAAACCAAGGTCCTGTCCGCCTGTTCAGGTGAACGTTAAAGATTTCACAGCACAATTCAAAAAGAGAAGAAAGGAGTTTCTCCCACTGTCCTGGCCAACAATCCTCAGATAAATAAATTGGTCATTCACATAATGGGGATACCGGCGAGGAGGCTGTTTGAGTAGTCCAGCCGAGAAGTGACAATACATAGTAAATATGCACAGCTACTACACCTTACAAAAAAAATGAAGTGTTTGGAGATGTTTAGACGTAAAGTGTACTATATCAGAAGGATTATTATTGTATTACTCATTTAAGGAAGAAGAAAAATTGACCTTTGTAAAACCTATTTGTATTATTCACAGGGGACCATTATAAATAGTGAGTTTAATTTTCACTGCAGTCATGTGAGGAGGATTTTTCTCTTTTCAGCAATAGAATCACTCGAGCAAAGATTCGAATGAGCCTGTTTACAAGCTGACCTTGTCACAGCAGTTGTTGCATTTGCTTTTGTGCTTCAATAACTAGTTGCAGTGTTAAAAATAAACTGCTTTCAACAACAGCTTCAACAATCTTGATATTTCAGAAGCGACACCGAGGCAGGGTCCCACTTTCATGTTTTTCCTGAGTTGAACTAAAAATATTATATAGATGTTTCAGATTGTAACATCCCACCTGGTTCTTAAACCCATATTACTAATAATTAGGGGAATTTATAATACTTTTTGAAACAGTTTGATCCCTGCATGGTATAGCAAGGGAGTGGCGGGGGTGGGGGGAATGAAGAAAAAGAAAAGTAATTAATATAGCATTTCCCGTGCGTCTGCAAAGAAGAAATTTTTAAGTGGCTTTGGTGAGTTTTTATAAATCAGACTAGTTAGCTATTTATAATCTGACTGAAGTGGTGTTATTTCTTGTCCCCTGTGAGAACCAAATCCCATTAAACTGCATGGGACACGTTATATTATCCATGCAATGCCCAGATCCTTCCAGTGACTCTGTGGGTAGTTTGAGATATGGCAAGGGCAGGGCAAGCAAGTAACTACTATTAATTTAGGTGCACCTTCCTAACCCTAAGTTTTACTACCAATAACAATGAGGCTCCACCATACAGTCTGTCAGCCACAGCAACACAAAACTTAAAGTGAGGCCCAATATTTAGCGATTTCGGACTTATGAGATTGGGAATCTGAGTGCTGTGTCCTTCAAGGAATACAACACTCCCATCCGCTGTTGAAATACATTGCATCGGAAAAGAGTTGTGGTCTGTATGGCTCAATGCTACAGCATGGCTGTGTCTCTACCCAATTGGCCATCAGGGAATCCCTTATTGATCCAATTATAACCATAATATAGAAGAGTGGGGTAAAAATTGCAGTATTCCTTAAACTAGTACTGGTTTAAAGATGAAGGCAACAGTCACCCTGACATATAATGAAGTTTAAAAGAATAGGTGTAAAATATTTTGAGTTCAAGTGAGCAATGACTAATTTATCTCATCTTTCATAGAATCAGTGTATTTGTGTGTGGGGATTAAGTGCTCTGGGACCCTACCCTGCATCACGGGCACTATATAAATTCAAGGTGTTGTTATATACAAACCAAAGGTTAGACTCCTTAAAATAAACAGCAGCAATTCTTGGCAAAAGTTGCAGCTGCAACCAAACATAAAAGCCCATTTCTTTCATAAAACGCAAGCCAATTAACAACTGAGTTTGTGCTAAACTTCTGGACATTTTCGAAAGCATATCACACGCAAGGATCAGTTCAAATGTCAAAAACATTACAATAATTTCACAGGAAATGTAAAATAGAAGAGTTATAAAATGATTGCAGTAGCCGGTTTCAGAGGATGATTTTCTATTTCTTTCGTGTTCTGACAATTGCTTTTGAGAAACATCAAAGAAGAAGTCAACTATGTAAACGACATGAAAATTTTCTTTCGATATTAAAATGCAAGAGGATTGATGTTAAAATTATCTCCCTGGTTTCTCCAGCCCTCAGATCTGTTAAACGCCAGTCATGCTTTGAGTTTAGAGTGGTGATATGAAGTACAAAAGGTGCAGGTCTGAATAATTACATTAGGAGCTACAAACAGGGCAGCACGAGTTGTATCAGTACTATACGGCTGTGAGATAATGTGACAAAATTTCACTCATACTGATTCCACACAAATTCAAAACAATATTTCCCAGGTTAACAGAGTAAGAGTTAATAGAGTAATAGAGGTTAGATTGGCTATTGCTAGCACTCTTGCCTTTGAGTCAAAAGGGTGTAGGTTCACGCACTACATGCAGACTTTGAACTCACAACCCAGGCTAACACTCTCATGCGGTGCTTGCTTGGGGTGTTCTGCGTTGTAGGAGGTATCGTCCTTTGTAGTAGATGTTAAACTAACGTCCCATATGCATGTTCAGGTGGACTTTAAAGATCCCATGGCACTACTCGTAAAGCAAAAGGAATTCCATCCGCCCTGTGTGCTGGCCAACAAACTGCCACATTCACCTTAAGGCTGTTTGTGGGACACAGCTGTGTGCAAATTGGTTGCTGTGTTTGCCTGCGAATGCAGTCACTAGACTTCACGGTAAAATTCTGTGAAGGGCTTGGAGTCATCTCAACTGCCTGATAAGAACAACAAAAACTTGCATTGAAAGTGTTAGAGTGCTTAACACCATAGGGATAGGTTTTTATTATAAAAACTCAATACAAGCAGGAATGATAAATTCTGGATGCTCATATGTCTATTCAGTCTTCAGTACATTCATTTTACGCCACTCTGTAGAAGATCCATTGAATTCATCCACCCAAACCCCATCCCCTCATCCCAACCACCCCCCCCCCCACACACACACACACACACACACACACACTACCAGTGTACTTTCACAGTGCAGATCTAGTTTTGCCAGAATTTAGCTTTGGAATTTCACTGAACTGTAAAGCTAAGGTCATTAATAATTGTTAAATTGTATTAGAAGGAAACTGAACCCAACGTGAAAGCTAGCAAATTTCAAAAGTTTGCTTACAAACCACACCTTCCTGGCAGGTTTTATGAACCATCATCTTTTTGAACAATTCAACTTATAACAACACACCTGAAAGACATCATTATTTCCCCTTCATCCAGTTTATACTGTATAATAACCCCCCCCCCAATGATATCATAGCTGTGAGGAGTTTCACTACTTCTGATTTAGGCTCATTAAGAATAAAGTAAAGGCATCACGTGGTGTTGCACTGAGATATATAGACACACAAGACCCCAGGTTCAATCAATAATCTGTTCTGAGTTAGCTGATCTCAAACAGTGTGGCTTAGAACACAGCAATTGGCCTTTATCGCCTAAGGCTAGGAATGAGAAATCAGCAATGTTCCTGCTCCCGATTGCCACCCAGTGATCCTTATTGAAAACTATATGTGCGTGTGTGCGTACGTTGGGCTCAACAGCAGCAGAACAGAACAACACAGAACAGAACGTGCTCTGAAAATCTGTGGACACTTACCGGGCCGACTCATACATGGAGAATGATCACTTGGACAGTGAGCTACAAGCACCTGCTCAACCATCTTGCAGCGCCAGTCATTGTTCTCAGGGGGTAGAAGAGAAAATGGAAAAGAAAGTGGATTCTATTACATTAATTGGTTAAATTGCTATCAAAATTGTAACTTTCAATTAGACTTTGAATGAATATTCTCCTAAATGGTCTTTCCCTATTTATCTGATCTTTTCATCTAATTCCCATTCATTTTTACAACTTAGCTTCAAAATAATAAAAATAATCGTTATAATTGGTACTTATATTTCATATAGCCTTACAATGTCAAAATGTCTTGCTTCACAGGTAAATACAGTCGAGTGCAAGTGTATTTGTAGGCAGACACAACAGTTATTTTTGGATACAATGTCCCACAAACAAACATGAGGTGAATGAGCAATTTATTTGGAGGATCGTTACTTAGGACACTGGGAGAAACGCCTTTCACTTTTCAAATAGTGTCATGGG